TAACTTTGGTGCTGTGTTAAAAAAAGGATCAAACTTCCATCTATGGTGCTCTCTACTTCACTATACTTCAGTCTCTCAGTTCTCAGGAAGTCCTCCACCGATACATTTTTATCTTTACAAAAAAAAACTATCTTAAAGGGTCAGTAACTGTTTCACAAAATATTATTCGTTGCAGCATTTAAAGATACCTGGAACAAAATGGATTTTCTTGCACCAGGAAAATTCTCCTGATGGTGTCTTAGAATAAAGACCTTCCACAAAACCCCATCAACAGGTTTCATTCTGAAAATCTCTGGCTGCGCTGGCTCTGAAGACCTATCCTGACTTTGAATCCACAGCTGCTCTCTGCTTTTCTTTCTCTCATTCCATTTTGCCTGTTTTTAATATTCATGTAATAATCAATTGCTTCACATGGACTAATATGGCTGTTATGCTTCACTTTAAATCATCTTGACACGCTTTCAACTATGAGCTTTTTCATCCGACATATGGTCAGCATATTTTTGTCTGGTCTTTTTTCAACCACTAGCATCTGAGCTCTTCCCCAGACATCTTTCAGCCAGCTTTAGAGGAAAAACGGCATCTTTTCATGTTCGAACACATTCAGAGTTTATTTCAAAGCATCCTGGACAAGTGAAATATTACTTGAAGCTCCCCTACAGAGTTCCAGACTGGATTTATTCAACAACAGTGGGAACATCAACGCCTATGTTTGAGAAAACCATCAATTTAAACAGATATAGCTCCCCAGCCACAGAAAGAAACAATTCAAATGCAGTTTTAGGTTAGTGCATGGACTATTTCCAGTCCTTAAATTGATGTGAATGATAGCTTTGTTTTTTTATAATTTGGCTGTTAAAAGCAGGCTTTATCAGAATCCACTGATCATACACATGTGCAAATGAGAAGAAGAGCTCAATTTGTGAATAGATGCTAACAAGAAAGAATCAGAATGCCAAGTTTTATGTCATCTCGTTTTGTAAAGTGATGGCTGCTGCTGGATGAAGGGTAGGGGTGCAGGATCCATGCATAGCTTATGCAGCCACCTGCATCTGAAAGACAGAAGAGAGTGGGAGTCAATGGGATAAATAGCCCATTATAATTATCATTTCACGATACAGCAATGTCGGAGTTACAAGACAATCATATGGATACATCACTATATCTGATTAATACAAAATGCACCTGAAAATGTAAAATGCATCATTAATGTACAGTACTTATAAGTAATAATCATTTCCTGTTTCTTCTTTGTTTTAACATAGTATGTTTTCTGTTAAGCTGGGTTGTTTTAGGTGTGTAACATGTAACATTTGACTCTTGTACACACAAACAAGAATTGTGCAGCCTAAATATAATCCTTAATTTACTTGGGCTGTTGTCTCCCTGACAGTTAGCTGTTTCTAAAAAAGATAAATGTCGGTTCAGACTAGAGAAGGCTTATATTGTCACAATCCTCTCAGTGAAGAACGGGCTTCCTCCTCACTGTTGTCAAGCAACAACAAAAGTATGCATTTAACCTCTTTCGTGGCCCTAATTCTGAAGTTTTCAAAGAATATGTCTGATTGCAGATTTATGGCAAAGCAAACAAAAGTAGATTTCCACAGAGTATTACTGTTGTTTCTTCCTTGAAGCAACATTATGTAACTTTTACACCTTAAAATAGTAGTTTCAAAGGTTGATTTAAGAGAACAATGAATTTTAACAGGGAGAATGGTGTCCCTCTCATGTCCACAGCGCGGCCCAATCACCTGTTTGCTGCAGTGTTTAACTCTGGCAGCAGGTCGGGGTCATCTTCCCAAAAGTGCAAAGTTCACGCTAAAGCCTTCAGCTATAAAAAAAACAAAACAAAATACAGTCAGCCCATCTTGTGCAGCTTTACAGTTTGTGCTGCGTTCAAGTGGCGACCTCGGGCGTTGAAAAATGAAGCAAATGGAAAAGTGAAAAAAATATGCAGTTCCTCGAGCCTCAAGCTCAATTGAGGCTGGCTCTAAGTGCACACACACCACATTCAAATACTCCCGCTTTACAGCAGAAAATAACCATGTTTACAGCCTGGTACAAAAAATTATATTGATGATAAATCTTCCGCTTTGATTTGATGAAGGATACGAGTTATGCTTAGTCAGGCCCGTGACTGACCTGATTGACAGGGCGGGCACAATGTACATGTTGGTCAAGAGGCTTAAACACCGCCTCAGCTCCAGCTCTTTTAGTCAGTCGTTAGGTGAAGAATGAGAGTTAGGTTGAGACAGAATTTCCAGCATGGCCGCCGCTACCGACAAGCTTCCTAATCCCCCTGCAGTAACAGATATAGGTGACGTCACTCAGCCTTCGTCCTCCATAGCGCCCTGCATTTGTTCAGTCCCACGGCGTGCGCCCTACCCCACTGGGTGCAAAAGATCACAGGGGAACTACAAGATCCAAGGAGAACTACAAGCTCACGTGGGAACAAAGAGAAAAATGTGCAAACAACATATAATTATTTCTTTCTGATGTTAATTTGCTGATCATTCGTTGCCTGTTTTGATGTAATGTTGATAATGTAATGGAAAATACGATTCTGAGTGGGTAAGAAAATAGGTAGGCTTATCAGTTTTGTCCCTGAAAAACCAATCAGTGGTTTACTCTACTTTGAAGGGTCGGAGTAACTGCACTGTGTCTTATAGTGCAGTTGTGCTCAGAAACCATTGTTGGGCTCCAAATATCTATGTATATTGTTGCTTACATCAATACATAAAGTTTTCATTTAACCTGCTTTTAAACTTACATGTTATCCTCAAGGAACAGTTTGCTCTGACCCTGACCAAATATATTCACCACATGTCAACTTCCTCTAAAAGCGAAAATAAATTAATCCCATGTGAAAAAACACTTTGCAAAACTTTGCAACTTCTCCCCGCCAACTGACTGTCGTATCTTTGCAGATCTGCAACACATCTACAGCTCATTCAGCGATTCTGTCCTTTTAATAAGCCTCCTGTCACATGTAGAGTTGTGGCAATTCATTTGCAAGTATTGAGTTTGAGATAATATACTCAGACAGCAAAGTGAGTACAACCTCTGTCCTGTCCCCTAGGAAATAGGAAACTACATTTCTTATACGGCCTGTTGTTTTTTGGTGTGTTGACAGTTCCTTCCCTGCAGAAACTTTTCCTCTCAGACTGAATAACCTTTTCATCGAAAAAGTAAATGAAGTGTCACTCTAAAATAAGATAACTGCCACTTCAAGGACAAGACACTTAATGTGAAGAAATTGACTCAACTAAAATTGAGATTTTTTTTAGGGTATTCGGTAATTCAACATCTTGATTGACAGCACTTCTGTTCACTGGATTTTTTTTCTTCAAGTTTTATTCGAGATACAAAGATGAACTTTTGATAACGATTTGGGGCCAGCACTGAAATGAATGAACTTTCTACATGCCATTTAATTCTGAGATATCAGGTTTATCTTCAACACTGATGGACGGTTTGAATTCCTCCACTCAAAGTGCTCTTTCATGTCCTTTTAAAATTCAGTCTCAATTTTCACTCCAAGTGTAAGTAAGGAAAAAGGGTACATTTAAGTTCTGCATGTGTGTGATCGGAAAACAAAAGAGACACAAACGCATGAATGGAAAACAAGTTGAGGCTGATTGAGACAGTGAGACAGACGGACAAAAAGAGAGGTAGACCAACAGAGAAAAACAGTTGGTGGCAAACGTACGGACTGGGAGAGAGAGGCTAAGCTTTTAGTGACGGACATACAGAAAAATACACATTGAATTTCTCTCTCTCTCTCTCTCTCTCTCTCTCTCTCTCTCTGTCTCACACACACACACACACACACACACACACACACACACACACACGTACATACAAACACACAATTACACTAACACACCCACCCTAGTGTTGGACATAATGTCATCAAGCCCTGTGCCATGTGCTGAGTTTTCTCAGTCTTTTACTGCCATCTAGTGGAGAGAGAAGTTGATTCATCCAGCTTTATGTTCTTCTTACACAAAGACTTTGTTAGAACTAAACACATCATAGGTAACCTGTAACGTTTGATCCTTGTCAGCACAAGGGAACCCCTAATAAAGAACAAAATAAAAGTACCAATGGTGAGAAATAAAAAAAAGTCAAATAAGATAAAAAGGTAAAGAATTGTGACTCTTTGACATGGCTCATTTTGTCTCAAATCTCAAGCTTCTTCAACTGCTCGACTAATGGACCAAATAAAACAAACACCTGTGAACTCTTGACTTTGGTTTGGTTAAACAATCAATTTATCAATAAATGGAATCAAATGTGCATCGAAGGCTATGTAAAAAAAATATGACAACTTGAAGTGTTTCAGAAAATGCAAGGTATGATTTTCTTTTTAATACAAAATATCCATGTTGTATTTGTTTTATTGAGGAGAAAAGTAAGACACAGAGACACCTTAAACCTGTGTTGTCTTTGTGACCAGTTGTTCTCTGACACACAAACTGCTCATGGCAGCATACTGGCATGACTGTGGGTACAGTGTGCGTGTGTGTGTGCGTGTGTGTGTGTGTGTGTGTGTGTGTGTGTGTGTGTGTGTGTGTGTGTGTGTGTGTGTGTGCTACGGGATAGTAGCATGTGTGAACATGCCTCTCATTCCAGCAGTGACAGCTCTCAGCTGTCTTCCTGTCTGCCTCCATGTCCCTGTCTCTGTCCCCTACACGGTCCATCTGTTTGTCTCCTCTCTCCTGGTTGTCCGTCTTTATGTCTTTCACTGACCTATGAGCCTCTATCCCACTGATAGAAGATGATATAGTCTCGCCATTAAGGCAGAAAAAAAAACGTCCACATGTTTGAGAAATCTTGGCAGTGTTGATTGTTTGATATTCAACACTAACTCACACAAACACACAATCCCAGCTGTCTCCTCGGACTGGGAGTGTGCTGAGAGGTTGGGGTGTTGTTGGGTGGGGGAGGTGGGAAAGGGGAAACCAGAGCTCAGAGTTCACTTACTGGCCCGAGCCCTCTCCACTACTCACTTTAACTCCACTGTGACTGTAAGACATACAGTGGGACTGTTATAGCTTTATGTTATATGGTATGTCTGTATGAAAGTAGAGTCGGTTAATAGGTGAGCTTTGAACCTGCTAACTTTTTTTGACAACACATTATTACACGGATGCTATACATTTCAGGACTCTTTACGTAAACTGGGGATATGAACCTCTCCAAGGTCCAGGTCTTGCTGGTATGGATCCTCAGTGTATTTGCGGGTAAGTCTTTTTGTGTTCAAAGTCTTTTTTTGTTACCTTATTGGCTAGGTCTTGAAATTGACTGAAGCAACACAGGTTGAGATCTTTAGACAAAGAGGTAAATGTGTTTTTATCCCTGCGAATAAAGCTCTTTAAATGATACTACAAACTGAAAATGTGAGAATATTTTCAAGCTCTCACAGAGGGATTTGCATGTTGTTTCTTTAGGTCCATTTTAAAGCTTATCAAGTTAGGCTTTTTTTTTAACAAAACATATGATATGACAGTACTGATCTCTGTAGAGTCTGTGTTTGTGTGTTAAGGAGTTGAGCTCAGAAAGAAGAAACAGTTTTCTGGCACATGGCCTGTGAACCAAACAAGAATGCTACAATCCAGACTAGGTTGAATTCATCAATCACAGGATTGAATTAGGATTAGGAGATGTAGGCCTAATTCTGTTTTTTACAGTATGATATACACAAAGAAAAATTGCTTTCTTACTTCGGGGAAAACCCCTTAAACATAACCACACAGTTTATCTTTGCTTATCAAGTGATTTAAACAACTGATGAATTGGAGATTGTTATTACATGAATGCACATATCATCCAATCAATTAATAAAGCACACCTGCTCATCGGTTTTCAACTTGAAACACAATGGTGAAACAATAATTGATTCCTATCCTTACCCCTATATCTTCATATTGCCCATCCTTATAGCATAAATACCTGAAGCCACAGTTTAAAAGCTCTTCAAAGAATTATTTCAGTGAAGAGTACCTTTGGAAATAAGGGTATGTTGGTACTTGGTATTTGTCCTTCAGGTCCCCTAAAGAAAGGCAGCTTAGCATTGCTCGCATTCCCAGCTGCATTCATATTTAAGGAATTTATTGTAGCTGACGTCCTCTTCAAGAGTGATTTATATTTACCAGTGAGTTGGTATGAGTTTGTTGTCTTTGTTCAAGGACACTTGAACAGGACACATACTGCAAGTGTTGATGCACATGCTGTCTCTTGGGGGGATTAAACTTGTGACTGTTAAGTACTGGACAGTCTGTACATCCAAGCCTGGAGAACTTTATAGATTTGTAAGTCACCAATATCCATTGCTTGGTACATCTTTAGTGGGTTTTTTATAGCATTGTTTTTTCTCCATGAGATGCAAAGTGTCTTCATCCATCTCCATTGATCCCTCCACAGTTATTTACTTCATGTTAGTTAAATGTCCACACAGTATAGGCCACCATAGTTCAACTTAGTTAGTGCTACATGTGCAACCAAACTTGTGTATAAAGATAATTACATAAATGCCCATCCCTACTGGAAATTGTAGAGAATTACAGGAACAAAGTTAAGTTAAGTTACGTTAAGTTAAGTTAAACAAAACCTAAAGTAGTTGATCGAGTACTTGTTGATAAAGAATGTCATTTGGTAAAAGTTACAACAGGCCAGTTGAAGAAATGTAAACAACCCTCAGTCTCCATTCAGGCGCTGGGCCTTGTTGTTATGTCATCTGTGGCCTGGTGGATGGCCTGTTAATAACATATATGTGTTGTAGTCTAGGACAGGGATTCTCAACTGGTGGGTTGGGACCCAAAAGTGGGTCGCGGAGCAGTTTTCAGTGGGTTGCGAACATGTGACTGGAAAAAAAAGTGTTCCTTCTCTTTAATCCATCACGTTTGGTACCATCGGAGGCCAAAACTGCACAATTTTTCATTCAATAAATCTGATTTGTAAAAAAATATCAGAAATTTGGGTCACGTTTTATTGGTGTATATGAAGTTATTGGTGGTGGGTCTTTAGGCTGGACCTATTCAGAAACTACTGGTCTAGGTGACTTGTGCATAGTAAGTCTCTCCTGTGTGTGAGTTAGAGCATGAGAGTATATCGCAGACAAAAAGAGGGGCATACACTTTCAACCGGATGTTAAGTTACAGTCGTCAGCGGAGAGTGTCAAGACAAGCTAAGGTTTGGATGAATCACTTATGAAAGAGCTTTGTCTTTGGTTCGCTTTACTGAATAAATATGGCACTTGGTTTTAACAACCGACTATGGTTCTGGGAATCAAAGCTGAGAAGGTAACAGTGAGCTCATGTTCAAGTATCCAATTCATCATAGGCTATTTGCTTTTCTTTGGCGCAACCAGGATTACATTGGCGGAGTCCAGGAGGGGATGGGAGGGAATACTGTTTTGAAAGAAATTCACAACTTTTGAGTCTCATTTCTGATATTTCCTACATATGTGATTTCCCCCTTCCCCTTAACTTAACAGGGGGTTAACAACATTTCAGAGAGCTTGATTTAGTGGTTATTTCACTCCTTGGAAAAAAAAACAGGGTCTTCCCATAGACGGTTAATAATAATGGACGAAGCCTGAGTGACATCGCCCATAGATTACGGCAGGGGACTCTGAACTCATGCGTGTTTCATGTATGATCATCACTGATGACAAGTCGATGTGAAAGTCTTTATTACTGGACGCTATACATCAACTTTGAAAATCAAGTCACAACACATTTGTCCATACGTCACACAAACGGTCCCAGGCAAAATCATGATAGTTTACGTTTTTGAATATGTGCAGATAACATAACAATAAAATTATCACACTGTGACCTTAAATGCTACTCTTTTGTTTAGTACCTTCCATTTTTAATGAATTGGTGGCATCTATTTTTAGATTAAGCATATTTGGTTCTTTGTGCAACTATAAACTGATATGGTCAATTAAGTTTACATTTAGTTAAAACAAATTCTCAAGAGTCTCCACAAAAAAGGTAAAAGTATTTGGCACTGCAGAGTCTAAAATTAGAACACTGAGCAGGTGAATTATGCAAAATCACTTTCACTATTCTGAAAAATGGTTCAGTCAGTTTTCCTATAAGAAAATCAATGGAGTGAATATTTAAGCTCCTATGAAGTTATTGGGTTTTATAATACCTATAATTGTCAATTATTATCTTTAGCCACTAGATATGAGAAATCAATCTGCCATTAAATATGTATGTTACACTCTAGACGGTTTATGAAACATTATGATGATTTATAGCCAACTATCCATTTAACCAAGTATGCAACAATTCATGCTAAGTCCTTAGAGGTTATACAGAAGTCTATGAATGTCAATGGTCAGTCCAGCAACTTTCCTCAACAGCATTTTCCCAACATGTGACTCAGACCAGTGGCATTGATTCAAAAGCTTGTTTCATGCCCACAACAAGATGACATGACAAGAATCTGAATGGCCCCACTTTTGTGACTTTTCAGCGTGGGAGAAAATAGTCACAGCCTTTGCCGTTTTATCGTTCAGTGGTGGTTCAGTATTGTGCAGAAATTGGAGTTGAGAGTGGGCAATGATTGAAGGGTCCAAGTGGCTGCTCTGCCCCGCCTCCAATCTATTTTTGTATGTGGCTAGATCAAAGCATGCTAGCAGGACAACAGACAGGGAGCAGGCAGCCAGTGACAGACTGACAGATTGGCAGACAGCAAAAAAACAGATATCAGCACCATGCACACAAAAAAAAAGTCTTTATCCACTTTTTTTTTTGTGTGTGTGTGTGTGTGTGTGTGTGTGTGTGTGTGTGTGTGTGTGTGTGTGTGTGTGTGTGTGTGTGTGATCTGCTCTTGCCGGCTAAAAGAAACAAGATCCTCGACTGCTCCGTTGAGTATGGATCGCCAGCAGATACCAAAAATAACATGCAAAAGATGTAACTCAGGTCACAAAAGCACTCTGCTAGTCTGCTGGATCATATGGTAACAAAATGACTGGTTCTCTCTGATCACATGAACAAAGGTGATACAATAGTCCATTTACAGCAGATAGTACATAGGCTACAGCGGCAATAGAATCAGAATCAGAATCAGGGGTTTATTGCCAAGTACATTTACACACAAGGAATTTGACTTGGTGTATTGGTGCTAAACAATTCACAGGGAAATAAAGCAGAACTAGCAACAAGTTAAATAATTCAGTATAAGAAGCTATGAATGTGCCATATAGTGCCAACATGTGGGGAGATTTCTTTGTGAGCAAGAGCCAGAACATTTGAAACTATAAAATTTACTTGAGCAGTACAATCACCGGGGACTTTTTTGGATTTTGATATACTTTATTAATCCCCGAGGGGAAATTCGGGTTTACTCTCTGTTATTTATAGGGACATGCTTCTCACACACACAGGCCCGAATCACATGCATGCACAAACAGGACCTGTGGACATGCTTTGGTGGAGAGATGTCAGAGTGGGGCTGCAACAAGCTGCTAAGCAGAAAGTGCACCAGAGCAGTTGGGGGTTTGAAAGGCTTGCTCAAGGGCACCTCAGCAGTGCTCGGGGAGTGCCCTGGCACCTCTTCAGCTACCAGACCAAATTCCATATTATGGTATCGGGACTTGAACCGGCGACCCTCGCAAGTCCCTACGGTCTGAGCTACTGCCGCAAATCCATATCTAGTTTGACATAGCATTTATATAAAGGCAAAAACGATATTATAGCGTTTTATAGCGGACTCAGTTGCTTAGTGCGCCACTTCCACATCTTTGTTTTCACGTCATGCCCTGCCTCTTGAGACCCCCACTCCACCACTCCTGTCCAACAGGAATAGGCTCTCCTGTGTGGTGCATGTTTGAATAACCAACTCAGATTGCAAGGGCAGTCCGCCTGAAATATTCTAGACTCTTGTGAATATGTGAAAACAGCTATAGTCAGTTCAAGGTGGGATATGTACATCCCTGTGACACCTTGTCTGCAACGTGTAATGCAATGCAGTAATGCAATGTCAAATCATGCTGGGACACCAATATTACTCTGTTGTATAAGTTCAAAGGGGTCATGTCGGCGGAACATACGGTTATGCAGCAGTCAGTGCAATAGCTCCTGAATATGAATAACAAAATAATTAACTAAATATTGAATTGAATTGATGATATATTATCTCTCTTTAAAAATCTGTCTCATCTTCTTCACATCAGACACAAACAAACCCTGCTGGTCCAGGCTGTAGTGGTTTTTAGTGTATTCCTTGCGCAGCATAATTGACGGGCTCATAAAGACTTGGTTGAGAAAAAACCTGTAATTCTGCGAGCTGGAAACACCTTTTGAATGAGGGGGTGTTAAATGCAGGTTAACTGTTCTGAACTCTAACTGATCCATACTAAATGTCAAGTGGATTGGCTGCAGCTGTTTTTCCCAAACACCCTCTTAGCACTCAGATTAGGTTCGCTCCAAGGACTTGTACGGGAAACAGAGTTGATCGCAGAGCTTACATAGCTCATGGGATATTCAGTGCTGAAGCTTTTCACCAGTATGGAATGTAAGTCACTTGACTGCTGCTAATGGAGATCTGTCTGCATCTGCTGCTCCTGCCTTGCTCTTATCTGATCTGTTTTTTTTCATTCTCACCCTCAGAGTCACATTAAAAAGGTTTCAGGTCACTAGTTAGAAGCCAGGGAAATGTTTGGTGTGTGAATCACAGATGGATGCGATCTGCTGCCTTCTCTCCTGCTTTAGATGGGTTTTTTTCAGTTCCGGTGTGAAAATATTTCTGAGGGCATGGGTGTCAGATGATGAGTAAGGCAACACTTGCTGTGTACCTCAGCTAAAGTGAGCCCAAAATAAAACTTGTTCCGAACATATTAAAGCAGAGTTTTTGTACATAATTCAAATATCCTGATCGATCCCCTTCTATAAGGGTATGAGACTTAAGAAATAAGATTGTGTAATAAAATACAATCTGAATATGTAACTAAAATGTATGTATGCCTGTGTGTCCTAGGTCCAGTGCACTGCTCAGAAGATGAGACTAATCTGGTGAAGATACTGTTCACTGGTTACAACAAGGTGGTTCGACCTGTTGACCACTTCAAAGAAGCCGTTGTGGTCACTGTGGGACTGCAGCTGATACAGCTCATCAGTGTGGTAAGTGAGAGGGAAAGAGTCATCAATGCCTGAAGCAGAATTCAAATTTTAAAAAATTAAATACTATTCCAAAGAGTTACTACAGAAGTTAAAACAACCTCCAGCATACCCACGCACATGAACACCGCTGTAATGACACTACTTTTGAAACCCAATAAGGACCCTACCCACCCCTCCAGCTACCGCCCACTCTCACTTATTAACACTGATTAAAAAATGATTACAAAAACACTAACAAAAAGAATAGAGACAGTCATTCCGATGATAATCCCCCCCCCCCCCGACCAAACTGGTTTTATCAAAAACAGACACGCTTCAGATAACATCCGCAGGCTTTTCAACTTAATCCACATATCACAACAAAAACAGGACAAAACCATGATCGCCTCATTGGATGCAGAAAAGGCCTTTGACAAAGTTAACTGGACTTTCTAATTCAGCGTCTTACGCAAGTTTGGTTTTGGAGAGTTGTTCATCCACTGGGTAAGAACATTGTACACATCACCTAATGCCACAATAATCACAAATTGTATCACTTCACCGAACTTCACACTACACCAAGGGACCAGACAAGGATGCCCACTCTCTTCATCCCTATTTGCAATTTTCCTCGAACCACTCGCAGCGCAAGTAAGACAAAACAATAACATTAAAGGAATCGACAGTGAACATGCAGAGCATAAAATAACCCTTTACCCAGACGATTTATTGTTACACCTTCAAAACCCTTCAACATCATTATAAGAAACCTTCAATATTATTACAAATTTTTCTTCCGTCTCTCACTATACCATAAACTGGAATAAATCAACCATCATGCCAATATCAGAAGGAGCCTGGGTTTCTGCAGCCCAAAATCTCACCCTCCCATTTAACACTGGCAATATAAAATATCTAGGCATTAACATTTCCGCCAGGCTGTCAGAATTATTTCACCTTAATTACACCCCCCTCCTAAAAATAATAGAGGATGACTTTAAGCGTTGGACCAAACTACCGCTCACTCTCATTGGACGAATCGCCACAGTTAAAATAAAAACCCTACCATGGATTAATTATTTATTCTCAATGCTCCCCATCACTCCCACTGACAAATGGTTTAAAACAATAGACTCATTATCATCACAATTTCACTGGAAAAACAAAAAAGCTAAAGTCACAGGGTGGCCTCGAAGCACCAAACTTTCTCTACTACCATCTGTCAAATCAATGACAATATTTATTCAAATGGACGCAAAAAGAAAAACACAACAACCAATGGCTAGAACTGGAACAAAACCAATGTAAAACCACTTCAATTGCAGACCTTCCCTTCCTACCACAATCAATTCAAAAACTGGACTTCCACAAAACCATCACCATATCCTCAACTCTGACAGCCTGGTGGAAAACTCATAACATCACCAAGTCATGACTATCACCATGTAGATACACCCCAATATGGCATAATCCAGACTTCTAGCTAGGCAACACCCCCAGCTACTTCCCATCATGGCAACAAAAAGGAATCACTCACCTCAATCACCTATTTCAAAACAATCAGTTTATATCACTCAATACATTAATCCAGAAGTACGGGGTTGGGAGGGACTAGTTCCTACACTATCAACAATTAAAATCAATAGTCAAATCCAAAATTGATTAACTACCAACACTCTGCGACCGTCCCAACTAAGTGAAAAAGGTCCTAACAAGGCATATACTTAATTTAACATTGAAAAGATGATTAAAATAGAAGACCAGTGAACATTAGCTAGCTTTAGCAGTGTGGACAAAAACTTTACTGCTGCTAGCAAACCAGTCAAACTTAATTTTAGCCTCTCGGCCATAAAAAGAAGTAGGACAAACATTTTGATTCTTTCAATTTAAATATCTTTCTTGTGTCGTTTGTCTGATATTAAAGGGTAACTTTTCAAACACATTTGCGTTTGTTCAAACATTTCGGGTTCGGGTAGGTAAATCTTTAAGATAAAGAGCGCAAGCACGTCCGCTTTACTTTCAATGTAAAGACAACATAACGGAAATGTTTATGCACGCTATTTTGATGGATAGTTATTTCTTAGTTGGCATAAATAACACAGAACATCTTTTTTTTTATCTAACAGGCATAAAGTCCATTATTTTTGGGTAATGTCTAAAAAGAATGTGTTCATGTGACTGTTGTCTGTCTTTCTGTATCTTCAAGGATGAAGTTAACCAAATTGTGACCAGCAACGTCCGTCTCAGACAGGTAGGCCTACATGTGACACTGAAATTAAAATTCATGACATCAAATATCCTAGTTACTATTATACATGTGTTACTTGGTTTAAAGTTTAAGTTGGTATGCAACATTTCAAATGATGTGCATTGGAACTGGGCTGGAGTTTTTTTTAACAAACTATGATTTCAGTGGTTTATTAGGCCTACTGTAATTTTTGAACCAAACCAATGCTTGGCTTTACAATACATGGCAAAGATTTGACCGACAAACACTACGAATATATCTGAGATTTAAGTCTTCAATACCTGTGACACTCAACTGTGCAGCTAAGTGGTCACAGACTCGTGACATATGGAATAGATGATCTAAACTAAAGTCTTGTCTTTACTGTCCCAGCAATGGACTGATGTGAATCTAAAGTGGAATCCTGATGATTATGGAGGTATCAGAAAGATCCGAGTCCCTTCATCAGACATATGGAGACCTGACCTGGTGCTATACAACAAGTAAACACACTTTGCATATCTATGTTATATACTCGAGTAAATAAACATCTCACACTCTTTCTATCTTCTATACTCCTCCTGCTCTGCAGTGCTGATGGTGATTTCGCCATCATCCATGAAACTAAAGTCCTGCTGGAGCACACTGGGTTGATAACATGGAACCCCCCGGCTATCTTTAAGAGTTACTGCGAGATTATTGTCCTCCATTTCCCATTTGACCTGCAAAACTGTAGCATGAAACTGGGAACCTGGACATATGATGGACTGTTGGTTGTCATTAACCCAGTGAGTGTAAAAATGTGTGTTTTAATGGCAAGATTAGTTAAAAAATAAAGTATATATATTCCCCTTTTGTAACACCCATTCTATTGCCATGCATTATTCCCTGTTTTCTGTCTTTCAGGACAGTGACCGGCCTGACCTCAGTAACTTCATGGAGTCGGGGGAATGGGTGTTAAAAGACTACAGGAGCTGGAAACACTGGGTTTACTACACCTGCTGTCCAGACACACCATATCTTGACATTACCTACCATTTCCTCATGCTGCGGCTGCCTCTTTATTTCATTGTCAACGTCATCATTCCCTGCATGCTGTTCTCTTTCCTCACTGCACTGGTCTTCTACCTGCCGACTGACTCTGGTATGTAGATCCTACCCGGGTAAGAGAAACGTTCTCAGACATTATAGAAAACTATGATTGGAAATAAATTAGCAACCACCGTGTATTTATTCAATAGTTTGTACAAGTAACCAATTTCACATGGTATCATCACATGTGGTAGACATAAGACATGTAGGCTTATTATCTGATAACTGTGGTAACAGTAGAAAAAATGCCAAATACACAACTCAAATAATTTAAGGAAATAACATAATTGTATTATTTTTTTATTGCTATATTGGAGGGGCCATAATGAAATGGTGCATGGCTGTATTTGCTAAACTAGCAGGATACATTTAAAACATCAACATTCACAAAATCTCAATTTCAGGGTGCACCAGATGATACATTTAAAAAAAGTCATTTTTATGGGAATTATATTTACACAGTGGTGTAGTGGTGGCTGAAGAAGTGGGTATACTCTTACATTTTTCCAAAAATGTTTTTTTTTTATGTGATCCCATTCAGAAGAGAGAAAAAAAAGTCTTTGTTATAAACAGTGCCATGTAAGACTACTCATGCACATTCAGTTAGTACGTACTAGTCAATTTGAGACAGTGTAGGAAGGTCATCCCCACACCACTAGGAAAACAATTGCAGCAAACTACAGAGTATTGTCAATCCTTCAATTGTGTGAATCAGAGGGGATTTAGAAGTGGATATACCCTGTGGAGACTGAAAAACAAGTGGGTCACTCTGTATACCTGCGTATACCCTGCACTACACCACTGTATTTACAGATCTCTTTCGAGAAAATTCCACTTGTGGAAAATTCATACAATTGAAAATCATTTATCTACTTATGCCTTTAACTTTTATTTAAACTCACAGTTTGGAAGAATCATGGTTGCACTTGTGTTATGTGATGGTTGGCATTAAACAGCATATAGTTTTAAGGATATTTCATTTTACTGTAAAAGAGGTTTAAGAAATGTTTGTGGGGGGGGGGGGGTCATTGCTGATTTTGCTCAAATTTAACTCAATTCAGTACAATACATTTCAGAAGTTTTGACAATTCAAGCAGACATTTAAAAACACATGTCATTGCTTATTTAAACATCCTTAATGTGTGTCCTTGTGTCCCTCTGTAGGTGAAAAGATGACTCTGTCCATCTCCGTCCTGCTGTCTCTTACTGTCTTCCTGCTGGTCATTGTGGAGCTGATCCCCTCCACCTCCAGTGCTGTTCCTCTTATAGGGAAATACATGCTCTTCACTATGGTGTTTGTCATCGCCTCCATCATTATCACCGTCATTGTCATCAACACACATCACCGCTCGCCCAGCACACATACCATGCCCCCCTGGATCCGCAAGGTTATTGTTTTGTTTATACCATAAACAAGGACTGGTTAATAGAACAGTTCCAAGTTGTGATCAATGCTTTCATCTGTCTGTTTCTCAGGTTTTCATTGAAACCATTCCCAACATGATGTTCTTCTCAACAATGAAGCGTCCCAGTCAGGAGATCCGGCAGAAGAGATCGTTCCCCACTGACATGGACATCTCAGACATTTCAGGCAAGGCGACGACTTAGTGACGGATCACGCAAACATGATGTAGGACAAGGGGTGCATGGGCTGTTAGTTTAGCATGTAGGTGTTACTGTCAGTGAAAAAAATGTGCATTATGTGAGGCATGTTAAAGTTTATAAGACCCCAGATGTAAAAAAAAACCAAATCTGATAAAACCTGGTTTCAAAATGGTCCATGTTGTATTCCCACAACTAAAACCGTCCGTTCTCTCTCCTCTCTAGGTAACCCCACCCCCACCAGTGTCACCTACCAGTCTCCCATCGCTAAAAACCCTGATGTTCGCAGCGCCATTGAAGGAGTGAAGTACATCGCTGAGACCATGAAGTCAGACGAGGAATCTAACAATGTAAGACAACAAGCCTGTGACTTTAAGAAGCCCCCTCCCCCAACCCCCCCAAAATAGCCCAGCATGTACCTCCCATGTCCATTACACAGCCTTTGTTTTCTTTATAAGATAAAATAACCAAAACATACTGTAGATTCACGATTTCATGAAGGGATAAGTAGGTCGACTTTTGACCTTCATACAAAGCCAGACGAGCTGTTTCCCCTGTTATCTCTTTTTAAGCTAAGCTAAACAACTGATCGCACTAGCAAGATATTACTTGTCCCTGTGTCTGGTATATCCCAACCAGCAATTAAACTTGTTTTTTTAAATCCTCTGTTAGATTTGAAAGAAACTTTTCAATTTCATTTCAATCTTTTGAATCAATGTCCTCTTTAGTTGTCAAACAATCTAAAGATACTGTACTCTAACTGCACTGAAAGTTATTTATTTTCCCCATTGGCAAGCCTCGTATGTGTCTGCAAAGCAACCTTTTAAAACTTAAAAGCAGCCAAATTGAATCAAAAGTTATCCATACTGCAGCCATGGAGGTGACCAGAGCCACTAAATGTTTAATGTCTGAAGAATCACTTTCACACTGTCTCATCTCTCTCCAGGCCGCAGAGGAGTGGAAGTTTGTCGCCATGGTTTTGGACCACATCCTGCTGTGTGTCTTCATGGCCGTTTGCATCATTGGGACGCTCGCTGTATTTGCTGGGAGACTTATCGAGCTCAACACGCTGTAGAGGCCTGACCCTTGAAGGAGTGTTTTTTTTTTTGTTTTTTTTACATCAGCATAGATGTCACAATTGGAGTTGCATCAGTAAGTTGTTCATCATGGACAGATTCCAGTTAGCCTAACCCTGTCCTCACTGACAGAGATTTTAAAGGTATCCTGCGATGAGTCCTGCGATCTAGATGGGTCATACTTGAATCTATTTTTGCCACTACAATTTTCTAATGTTTTATTTGTTTTTCTAACCTGTTTGTTCAGGATTCTTTTTCTTTTTTTTTCTTTTGTTCATCACTCCAGAGGGCTCTCTTAGTTATGTTTTACAATATGACTCATTTATAAGCCATAACAATGATAATTGTTTTGTGTCTATTTTTGGCAGCTTCAAGAAAGATTGGGGTCAGAGCATGTCGTTCCTAGATCTACATTTTCAGTGAAAAGACAAACAACTGTCTGTTAGAGAAGGAGGATGTGTTCCGTTTGTTAAGAAAAAGAGCTGCTCATTGTTTTTCAAACGCAGTGGTATACACTGAGTCTGGTTTGTACTGGAGTGCAGGCAAGATATTTTCCTGTCTGGGAGTTTCATTGTTTTTTTTTTTTGCCTGACACTCATTAAACATCTAAACTGTATATTGACTAGTTACGGTTGTGTAAATATTATTGGATATGTGGCAACATTTTCACTTCTCCTTACCTCCGCTGAACAGTTTGTTAGAAGCCTGTTGCTGTTGAATGTTGTTTTTGTCACGTCACTTTCCATCCACATTGAAGAATCTGGTTAAAAAACGATTTCAAACAGATCTATCTGCCGCCTTTAATAGTTTATTGATGCATGAAAAGTCAGTTACAGTGGCCAACATGAGTCACTTGTTGCAAGTGGAGATATGTGCACCATACCTCAAGTCATTTGAGCAAGAGTTCAAAACATTCTCATTCAGGCTTTAGCTGATTGTTAGCTACAGTAACTGTGATTTGATTGGCAGAGAATGACATGTCCCTCTGCATTTGTTTAGCATTGGATGTGAAGTAGCGTAAAAGGGTAATGTTCAAACGTCGCAGCTAAAGTTGCAACCTGTTTTCAGCAACAAGATGAAGGCAACGTGATTTATTTTGCAGCTGTGATTCCTTATGACAAAAACCTTCTATAGTTTAGTTATAGACACGTTGAAGTTCTTCTCTCCTGATAATTTCATTATAACTACATTTATGCATCTGTGAAGTGTGGTGAATAATAAATGTACTGTTCATTTTAACTTCATCTTATTTATCAGAGAGGTATTGTTCTAAGGAGGTATAAACCTGATTGTTCACTTTGTAAGCAAACATTTCTAATGTACACATAACTGTAACTGGCCTTAATAATAATATTAATAGTGTAAACCTGATTTGGAAAAAACACATGAACCACAAGAGAAAAACTGGATTTCTTATGCCTTTCAAAGACTTTATTAGGCGTACCATGCACACACTTAGTGTCAACCAGCATTGGCAAAAATGTAGCTGATAAATCAAGCAGAGACAAAACAACAGATAACAAGTACAAGTACCGGCGTTACACATCGTATGTGTCAGTGTTCGAGGAGGATCTAATAGGTTTTAAAAAATTCAAAGTTAAAGCTACAATTTTAATCACGATTTCATCTTCAGAAGGTGTCATGAGGGATCAAAAAGAAAGCTTGTTAACACTTAGTAAGCAGGCACCATGATACCTCATTTGTAAACGCAGATGCCTTGGAGGAAGCAGAAGCTGGGGGAAAAAAAATTGCTCACTGTGGAGTCAGGAAACTTAAAAATTCAACACATGTGGTTCCATGTTTCTAAACATTTAACAAAAGGTGGGTCAGTCCAAAACAAGCTTGGCTGCATTGTATAGTCAAATGGATCAGTGCAACAAGACAAGTGGAGGATTCTGGAGAGGATGTTTTTTGAGAAGGTCACTTCTCGCTTACTGTGACACAAACACATACAGAATTAGAGTGAAAATAAAAAAATATTTCAAGATTTGCTTGTTCAATATAATTGACTGTGTTGTCTGTGTTCCCCTAGATATTTCCCACCTGTGCAACCCCGGTGCTACATCATTTATATTTGCATAGAGAGACCCTCACTATGTCTTCTTGTTCCATTTGAAAACAGAATAAAAATCGCTGTCAAAATCACCAGGCACCAGTGCTTATTACCCATGAACCTCTTTAATGTTTCTGTTGCCACAGCAGCTATACACAGGGCGGGTTACATGGAAAATAGTGAAATATCAAAAGCAACCAGACACAAGTGAGACTGCAGGATCCTGTCATGAGTGCACACATTAAAACACTTCAAATGAAACAAAAGCAAAAAGAACAAAACACTACAGTCACGACTGTAACATGGATTTCACACATTACACCTCTAAAACCAAACTGTGCAGCAACTCCTGAAACACAGATTAAAACACTGTTTTGCCAAATAAATATAAAAAGAAACTCAGTGCAAATGGAGTGAGAAAATACAGATAAACAACAGTGCATTTGGCAAATGATAATCCTGGGAGGAATTTTGGTTGGCAACAATCGGGTAAGAGATAAATTGGCAGTTTAAGCTGCGCGTTGTGTTTCTCTTTCACCCGCCAAATGTTTCGAGGTTCAGTTTGTTCACAGACTTTGTTAGCATAACTCATCAACACTCATTTTATCTTCAAGCTAACAAGTTAGATTTTATTGACTGAAAAAAAAAAAGATGTGTGTACAGCCAATGTCTGATTTCATTTCGGTGTTAGAGGTTCATCGAAAAGTGATTAGTAAAATGAAAAGTTTAACCTCAATTTCTGACCACGTGTGTCGATCAAGGGAAGGCACAGACAATGCAGGAGGATTATACTGAAAGGTAAAAAGGGTCTGTTTGTTCATCACATTTAAAATAACACACTTCCTGCTGTTCCACTGATCTGAGATGAACTATTATGCACACAGTTCTGAGTAACTGCAGCAGGAGTTAGACATGAAGATGAGCAGTGTGAAGGATTTAGAATCATCTAGTGGTAAGGTTACAGAAAGCTCTCCAGTGATGACTGCTCCCCTCACTTTTTACTTTCTAATATGAAGCTAAACTTCCAAAGAGCATGTGTTTGGTTCATTCTTGGCTACAGTACAACCAAACAGACTCTGAGGGGCTCACTCTTAATTGGAAAGATTATTATTTTCTAGGCTGTTACACAAAAACAAACCAATGTTTATTCCAAAACAATTCTAAATCTTACACACTGGGGCCTGAAAAAAATGAAAGCGAATAATTTTCATCTAACAGATGGGAGAGGGAGACGGCCTCTAACTTTCACCCAGCACAGAGGGAACAAAGGCAAGAGTGGTCAGAGCTAGTCAGGGTTTACACTCGCCATGAGGCTTTCTAGAACAAAGATAAAAGGTTGTTTTTAAATCTTGCTTGAGTCCTCTGTTTTGCCTCCAACTTAGGAACCTTTGCTCCACTGGCAGAGTTCAGTTGCAGACATTTTAATTTTTAAAAACCTTTTTGTGGTCTGTGAAAAGCCTCTAAAAGAAATCACAGGAAAATTAAAAGATTTCATCAGAATAAAATGAAACTGAGAAGGTTAATGTTTGTATGGGGGATTAAAAGCAGGCAATGAAAAAAAAGCCGAAGCAGAACCCTTGACAGAATACCTGTATGAATAAATGTAAACATACTGAACGATATCTGGATCGTTTTACAAAGTACTCTTTCTCACAGACCTTGGCAGAAACATTCTGTAAACTAACAAAACAATAAATCTCATTCATACTTAAATTTGCATCATTATAAACTGCCATTGAATACACAGACGCCACACTGTGTGGGGTCAGGGTCATTGTTGGAATCAAGATTCAGGCATGTTTTTGCTGCTGGAATTGACAAACCATCTATGAACTAGCATTTCTATCCAAATTCATAACTCTTAAAATCAGAACTCATACAGCAGCCAGCTACATCAAACCTAAAGAAGCCTTAGAGCCTAAAACAAATCATTTAATTCTGATAAATTAACTATGTGAGATACCACAGAAACAACCCTATCAGCAGCTGACTACTCAATCCAGCTTTAAGATTTGAACTACAATCATAAATCTGACACCTTTTCTGTCAAATATGTTAAAGCCATGATATGTTGGCAACAATTTTAGGCAATACGGTCAGACAATTAACAAAAAAAATGTTTGAACATTATGATTCACATTCTGCTTTAGAATTTCTTTCATAAATAAATAGACAAAAACAGAGAAGGATTTTGGTTTTGAGGACATTAGATATTGACGTGCTTATAAAAATCTTTGTCCACCTATATTGCTCTAAAATGCCACCTATCTATCATGGCCAATCACGACACCTTGTATTTGCACAGAACGGTCAGACATCTCTGCTGCTCTCTGGACTCTCCTCCACTACGACATCTGAGGTTCATTCTCACAGGGGGCGCTGTGACTCTGCTCTGTTTCCATCGCTTCTTCCTCCTCCTGAACCACTTCTGCTTCTTCTTTGTCCTCCTGCTGTGCCGGCAGCTGCTCCTCTGATTGGCTCTCGCTCTCTACTTCGGTAGTGGGTTGTTCATCTTCCCCCGGCTCTTTCTCATCTGAGGAGAAGACGTGTCGGTCAGGTGGGTGTAAGAGGAGAGAGCAGGGACACTTCCCGAACAGTGAGAGACAAGAGGAGTGGTTCAGATAATGAGAATAGTTTGAAGTACAGAAAATGATTTGCTTGTTCGGAGTTAAAATCAGAAGTGGATGTAAAACATGTTTCACCATTCCCATTGGTAGTGTTATTATATGTTTAATTAGAGTAAAATATCAAGCGCTTCCAGAGATTAATTAAAACTAGATGTCTGTGTGAAATACACAAAACAATCTAATTCCTTTCGGTGCACTGAAAAGAACCCCGCCACAGTTTGTGAAAGAAAAGAAAATACAGTAGGTACTGACATTCTGATTTTAAAATCCTGCTGCTGGTTTATAAAGCGCTTAAAGGTTTAGGGCCAAAATACTTCCTGATTAATTACGAACCATCCAGACCGCTGAGGTCGTCTGGGACAGGTCTGCTTTGTCTCCAGAGTCAGAACAATAGAAAAGAATTGTGTCCCTGCAGTAGCAGCAGCTCTACACTTGAAAATGATAACCTCAACCAATCAAGTTGGTTGCACGAGATAAACCAACTGTTGTTGACAAAGCTGATATTGTAAGTCCCACACCTTCCTGATTTTGATTGGTCAATGAGGAAGAAGTGACACAGATGTGCATGGAATAGTTAAACTATTTAAAAATGAGAGCGCTGTGATCAAAGGAACCGCTGAGTGCTGAAACGCTGAACTTCATCGGTTTTGTACAGAAAATAGACGCTGCCAGCACAAAAAACGATGATAGTGGACACAGGCCCTAATATTGAAAATCTCAGGTATGTACCGTATTTTCCGCACTATAAGGCGCACCGGATTATAAGGCGCACCTTCAATGAATGGCCTATTTTAGAACTGTTTTCATATATAGGGCGCACCGGATTATAAGGCGCATAGAATAGAACGTGTTTACAACTGAACAAGGCTGGGAGATATTGTGAATATATAAATACGTATAAAACGTAACGTATAAAACTACAAAAACAAAAGTACATAAGACGATTTCCCCAAATAATAAATTATTTCTTTGACGTTTCTCTTAACTCTCAAAACGTAGTTTTATACGTAGTGCATTCACAATAACTCAACGTTGTTCAAACGTTAATGTGCATATTCACAATATCTCCCAGCCTTGTTCAGTTGTAAACACGTAAAAGAAACACAGTCTGATACCGCTAATTCAAACGTTAGTGCAGGGGTGCCCAAACAGTCGATCGCGATCGACAGGTAGATCGCTGACTGATTCTCAGTCGATCGCGAGATGTTTTGTCAATATGAAATACAATTGTAAAATAGAAAAGTGATTTCAATTTCATCTCATTGCACTGTTTCCCACACACGATACCTGTGTTGGGAGCCCAAGTATACTTCCGACCTGAGTGTATTTAATTTTTCATTTATTCATGAAATTGCTGCGTGCATGAGAGAGCGAGCGAGAGAGCGAGAGAGAGAGCGAGCGGGAGAGAGAGAGCGCGCGGGGGAGATAGAGAGAGAGTGCAGGCATGCGCAAGGACGTGCAGGTAAAACCGGGGGGGTAAATGTTTTACCAAAAAGTCATATATAGAAACTATGCTACAAGTATTAAGCGCATTTGATGAAGTTGCAGCTACTTTTCTCTGCTCCTCTCTGCTGTCATGACTGTGAGCATCGCGGGGGACAAGACACACACACACACGCACACGTACACGCACGCGCACGCGCACGCACACGCACACACACACTTGCACTGGAGCGCCAGCCACCACGCAAACCTTTTTACTTTTTACTTTTAGTGCTACAGCACACAGTTGATCCGTGATCCATACGGACCGAGGTGGGAACACACGTGACCCGGTCAAACAGTCGGTTGGACTTTACTCCGTTCACTCTCACCGTGTCTGCAGCTAATTTAACAAAAGCAAAATCATCTCACAGCAGCCTGCTGTAGTCTGCTTTATTTTTATACAGAACTCTCATTTATTATTTTCTGTTTGTTGTGTGAGTATTAAATGCGTTTGTAGGCTGTTGGTAAAAGCTATGGCTCACTATGTGGACTGGTAGATCTCGGCAGACTGGTAACTTTAAAAGTAGATCTTGGTTCAAAAAAGGTTGGGCACCCCTGCGTTAGTGCATAACTCAACATTGTTCAGTTACGTATAACACGTAAAGCTCACTTTTTCTGTTCATTCCGCGTCCACGAATCCCTCGAATTCTTCTTCTTCAGTGTCTGAATTGAACAGTTGGGCGAGTACGGCATCCAACATGCCCGGCTCCCTCTCGTCATTATCCGAATCAGTGTCGCTGAGCGCCGTGTACAACCAGTATGGATCAACCAATTAACCAATTGATCCATATATAAGGCGCTCCGGATTATAAGGCGCACTGTCGTTTTTTGAGAAAATTAAAGGCTTTTAAGTGCGCCTTATAGTGCGGAAAATACGGTACTCTATAATAAATGATGCCTGTACAGCTTTTACACAATTTATGGGATTAGTACTTGTATGCAAAAAAGGACATGCTGGTTAGAATTTTAAATAGATGCTTTAACTACATAAAAGCAAAATGACAATTTAGCACAAAGGTTACACTCGTGTTACACAGAGAGATGACCCATGTTAAATATAAAACAACCTTGAGGCTTTTGGAGACAATCGAGACATAAACCATGTAGAGGAGAGCAAATCAATCAATTAGGAAACTCATCTCAACATTTTTGTGCACTCAGTGAATACCAGATCTAAGTCAAACAAGTGTACTTTTAAACTATAGCTTCTTTTATTTATTGATAGTGCACCCGTTTGGCACTGATCCATCAGGAGAATTCAGACAATACTGCATCTGTTGTTAACCTACAACAATTCACAGAAGTGTCCCTTTCTGTGAATCTTTAACCTTTGAATTATAAATCTTGAAACGGAATAAATTGTATTTTAAAAACACTATTTAACCCAGATCTGGTGTAAACATCCAGTGACTGCTAACCCCATAGTTGTTGAAGTTCAATTTTTGGTTATTGCAATTAGAGATTTGGATTTAGCATTAGGTTGAGCGCTACAGTGTTATTGATTCTACGGCCAAGAAACTTTAGCCATTCTGGGATAATCAAATCTATCAAATCAGCTCAAATTAAGCCGGATCAGACAGTGCAGGGAGAGAAAGGGAACCTGGACTCTGCAGAGGTCGATTCTGAGGGTTCTTTGGACTCTGCTGGATCTGGAAACTGTGGACCAAGTTCCACGGAGCCGCAGCCTTAGCTAGAGGCAAGATCACACTGTTAACCTACTGATAATTTCTATGTAACACGTTTAGTGAGCTCACAAGTCCGACAAAGGAAAAGAAACAGGAATGAGCATACGACTAGATGGATGCAGGCTGATGACACAACATTTTTTGCTGCCTTTATTCTGCATTAAGACTTTTGTTTCACATATCTTTGATGTTGGAGAATGTTGTTTGCGTCCTTACTGCAAACAAGAATCATTTTACAAAATGACAATACCTGGAATTGTATGCATATACTATTCGTCAGGTATGTCATCCTGCGACCAATAACATACGTTAAGCATTCTTCCTGAATCTGGTTTGATTAGATTGTTAGAGTTTGCTGCATCAAAAAGAGAACAAATGAGAAAACAGCCTGATGCAGAAGCTTGTCGTTGTGTAACACCTCTGCTTGCTCACTGACGACTAGGATAAAAGACGGCATTATTAAAGTTAAGAAAAGAATCGCACACAAACAAATGTTGAATGTCAGCTGGAGCTCTGAATTAAGAAGCATTTAACATGGACGGTTAGGGTATAAAGTAAGTAACATGAATATGCACAGAATAAAGTGAGTATAGCAATGCCTGGATTGGTTTCGCTTACTCCTCGTCTGTGTATTTGTGAGTTTCAGTACCTCCAGAAGGGGGAGGGCTCTCCTCTGCTCCTGCTCCAGAATGCTGTGATGGTCCAGGGGAACGTGATTCTGCTCGCAGCCTCCTCTCATAGCTGAACTCTGGAAGCCTTGGAGCCTGAGGGCGGGTCTTCCTGGCTGGATTCAGGAAGTAGCAATATGCACATCGAAATGCTGAGGGAGAGAAATCATGATGATGAAGAGGAGGTTGTATCACTTTCTAAACTTCAGCAAAGCCCAAGTATCCGTAACTTTCAATGGTATGTATGTATTTTAAATTTGAATTTGAATGTTCTTTTAGTAAAGAGAGTCAAATCATTTATTGCAGTGATGTTTCTGGTCTTACCTAGGTATTCAAACTCTTCTTTCAGAGCCATGCCATTATGAGAAAAACACTGTTGGCAGACCAGAGCATATCTACAGGAAGGAAAGACGGACAGAGGGAGAGAGACTGTTTAATGTATTACATTTGTGATGTTCATAGAGTTTCTGGAGGTAATAAAACAACATTTCATTCACCTGCCCCATCCCATCTGTCTCCTGTTAAGTTATGGCAGATTCTAGAGGACTTTGATAACCTCAGGGGTCATGTAAAATGGTAAATGGACTTGAGCTTATATAGTGCTTTTCTAGTCTTCCGACTATTTAAAGCGCTTTTACACCCACCCATTCACACACTGATGGTAGTGATTGCTATGTAGTATCATCAGAAGTAACTAATCCCATTCATACACCGCCACTGAAGCAGTATGAGCAATTTGGGGTTAGGTGTCTTGCCCCAGGACACATCAGACATATACTCAGCTGGGAATCGAACCCTTGACCTTCTGGTTGAGAGGCGGCGACTCTACCAATTGAGCCACAGCCGCCCCTACTACAGAGCACTAGAGATGTGAAAAGCAGTTCATTTCAGTGTACTGAATCAGTAGAATCAGTTCAGTAAAATGATTCGCTCAAAAGATTCGTTCACCGAATCGTTCAGTACTTCTCTGCAGCTCTGTCTGAGAATCAGAATTAATAAGCTGAACGTTTAGTTCTGCTCGCGATCGTACTGAGAATAGCCGGTGGTGAATAATAATCGAATGAGCTGAGAATTTAGTTGCATAAAGCTACAGTTTGCAAACTGAAAGCTGCTAAAACAATCACATTGACAGACTTGGAGGCGGAGCTCTCGTTCAGTTCCTTCACTGAACGAGAACTCTGCCTCACACACACACTTTCAGTACTGACTGAAACACGATCGTTAGTGGATGTTAAAACAGTCAGCTGAGTGAAATTGAGTTGGATATAAAAGCCGTTTGTAAACTGACAGCAGCTATAAAAAGCACAAACATTTTCGCAACACCTAAATGTTAAATAATATATTTTCTACGTCCTCAATTTTGGAGATATGAGAGGGAGAAGTAGGGCGGGCTTTAGTGACACAGAGCTCCCGACCGACTCCGTCCTGTTGGTTCAGTCAGTATGTATCACTGACATAAAAGGGAGAGGGAGGGCGGGCTTTGAGCGACTCTTACGGTCTGGAGAGAGAGACACGAGACGGGAGAGAGGAGAGCGCAACTGAAGTTGAGAAATGAACGACTCTTTTCAGTAAGTGATTCAGTTCAGTTCGTTCACCCAGATGATTCGTTCGTTTTGAACGAATCGTTCATGACCGACACATCACTACAGAGCACATACTTTGCTCGTCCATCACCTTGAGTAAAGAACTGAGCTAAGGTGTGTTTGTGATAGAGGCTTCCACCCAAGTCTCTAAGGGAGAAAAAGTTCCTCCATGAGAAATGCTGCAAAGACATTTGTATCATGTAGCCAATGAGTGTGACAACTAACAACTGACATTTTCCTTTTTCCAGATCCTGTTGATGTTACTTGCTTTGCTGGCAGGACGCAACACCAACACATCTTCATTAAAGTGTTGCTCTACTTCCCAAAGAATGACAGTAGAGTAGCATAGGCTGAACAACACCCCTTGTAGAGAGACTGCAGACTGCGACTGTGAGAAAGTTACAAGATACTTTTACAAGGGGTTTACATCTAAATAAGAGATTTTCACCTGTTCTGTGGTCCATCTCCTACCAGATACTCTATGACTCGGTCCACTGCTCCTCTGTCTTTGGGCAGAATGGGTCTTGCTAATGGAGGACCTGGTGGGTGCAAACCTGAGAAAACAGACACACACACACACAAGGTGATTAATTACATGCTATATATTCAGAAATAAGTTGAACATTTAGGTCAGACTTTTGCTGTGGTCAGCCATCCAGGGCTCTGTCAGCCACAATACAATGTGGACTTTGACTGCTAAATTACATTATTACTATATTTATATAACTATTTTTTTACCAAAAAAACAAACATGCAAAGCTGCAACAGCAGATCTGTATTTACAAACACACAACAATTTATGTAAAGATGCATTCATAGGCTTTGAAACCTACCTACACCTGGGATAGGGGAGCAAGGGGTTCTTGGTACTGCCCCATGGAGGACAGATGCAGACAGAGCAGATCTGTCCGGTGGTCCTCCTGGAGCTGAGAGAGGAATAGGTTCTGTAGGGACAGCAACACGGGATGAGGCCACTGACAGATGTCTAAAAGAACCAAGTCAAAAGGTAACTGGATTTTGTGTTCATTCCAGTTGCCTTTGACTCTGTCCATGACCTGGACGCTTGAGAATCTGCTTAGACACTCAGAAAGCAGACTTCAAATATTCCACGGTGTTAATAGCACAACTAACGAACTCTAACTGTAAACTCATGGTGCTATGTTGACCCATCGTCAAGGTGAAGCACTTACAAACTGCAATACTTCTTAATACTCAAAGAATCTCTGCCTGCCCTCTTACCCATAGGTGTACCTCCTGGTCCTAATGTGGGCCGTGCTCCCTGGGGAGTCATTGCCATTGCACCCGGGGTGCCCATCGGCATGGGTCTCATTGCAACCCCTCTCTGCCTGATCTCTGCATAGAGAAGAGGAATTCATTACAAATTGTGTTATTTGGATGTAAGAGATCATTGGTTCTGGTGGCAATGAATCCCTTTTAGTAGCTTGAGATCCTTAAAACACTTAAACATCAAAAGTGAAGCTTTATCTTTCTGTTGAGTGGTGATGTGTGTCGTACCTTGTCCTGGTCTGGGAGTCATCTGAGGACGCACCGGGGTCGACTCCAGTTCCTAAAATACACAGACAAAAAATATGAGATAAAAACTGAAAAAAGCACTAAACAAATCAAAGTGAAGCCCACTTACAGCTTTCCTCTTGGCTTCAGGATCAAAGCGTTCCAGGATGAGTTTGGCATTTTTGTATGTCTCTGTTTCCATCACTTCTTCCAGCTGAAAACACCAAACAAGGAAAAGATAAACTAGGCTAGAACATAAAATCGAAACTCTGTTCCAATCAATCTTTAGAAGATGTACGAATGAAATGTAGACTGATCGAAATAAGTCACTTACTATCTTTTTTTTGGCCACCTTTAAATCTTCCAACTTATCATCTAAAACAGAAGCATTCATTATTTCAGTGACTTCACTTTATCTTGAAAGTCAAAAAGATTCAAAAGAGGTTTATACTCAACATATAGTCAAGCTAATGCAGTCATACAATTACAATATTATCAAACAATATTGTTGTTTCAGTTTCAGTTTATATCTTTAAAAAGTCTGATACAGTTCCCTGACACTAATGGAGCAATGAAGAAGCAGAATTCATTCTGAAGTCTACAGAAATATTTTTTCTTCCAGTCTAAAGAGACTGGTTATCATGTGGGGAAAAAAGCCTGATTTGATGAGGGGGAAGAGTTAAAGGCCTTAGACTGCTGTTTGACATCTTTCAATGTAGGACAACAAAATTCAGTACAGTAACCAGCAAACTGTAAGGGAGTTGGCTTTGCTGCTCTGTTAGTTTTGCAGCAACATTTAGATAACTTACTATTTCTCTCAGTGCGTTTGGAAAAAAGGAACACCAACAGCTTCCTGATTAACCACACCCTGATGACAAGAGATACAAAAAGAGAGTATTCAAGGAAAAATGACGTACAAAAAAACCTACAATTTTAAGATGACACATCTAAAATGCTATGTAGCAGAATAAACAGGTGTGCACAATGCATAAGTGTGTGAACTATATTTGATATCAGCACTCACAGCACTGGGTAAATGAAGAAAGGCAGGGCCATGGACAGTCTCTGCAGCCATTGTTCAGGCAGGTAGAGGCAGTACACAATCAGAGAGGTCAGTAGGTAAAGGACTGAAGAGTAGATAAGCAACCTGCCCACCCACAGCTGCAGGCAGATTCACACACAAACACATTGATTGAGTAAAAACATACAACACAGCAAACACTGCACATTTTGGTGTTTTGCTGACTTAACCTTTTGAAGACGTTGGTTTTTGGCTCTGAAGTCCTCTAGATCTTGAATCTCCTTCAAAGAGAAACAAGGAGGTCAAAGGTTATGTACACAATGTCAATCTCACAATAAAAAATGCTCGGCTCATAGTTCAACAATTGAACGTTTTTAGGGAAGCCATTTTCTTCACTGAAGGTAATGCCCAAATCTTTTTCTGATTTAATTGTGGATGGTAGTATGAACCACTCCTTCAGGTTCATCCAGGTAACTTCCACGTTTCATTATCAACAAATGCTAACCAGTCTAATAAAGCAAAATGAATCATGTTAGCCTGATAACAATGTTAAACAGAAAAACATGGAATTCCAGCTGTAATGTGATGTGCTGTATTTAATGCTCATTCAAAGTTCAATAATCCTGCTTAGGCCCAGGCATGTATCTCCATTATGAAAACCGAGACTGTTAACTGACGGTCCTCTTTTCTCTACTAAAATTATAGTGGGAGCATGAAACATGTCATGAAATATTATGTCTGTACCTTGTCAATATTCTCCAGCTGATCGACTGTGGTTGGCTTTGTCTGGGTTGTGGATACAGATAAGAAAATCATCATCAGGTTCATATAAACTATTAACAAAATTCATTGTGTCGCTCAGCAAACAGATTAAAGAATGACTTATCAAATACTCAGCTCCTGTTTCACTCAAAAATCTCAGGTAAATATTAAAAGTCAAAGTAAAAAGAATTCAAAGTGAATGGGGTGTACTTTATGTCTCCTTCTGCTTACTCTGTCTCTCTGGGAAAAAAAATCAATGAACCTTAAATCAGGGTCGCACTTCCGACTGCTATCTCTCTCTCGCTCTCCTCCTGTCTCTCCCTTGACTTCTCGAGCATGTCTAAAAATAGCATATGAATTTCATCTAGCTCGGGCACTGAGTTCAGTGTACGAATGGCTAACACATCTAACACACTGTCTTCACTGAAGTGGGACACATGTATAAAATCTATGAATCTTTGCTCCGAAATAAGCTTGTGGCTCAGTCCAAGGCTCATGAAGTAAAACAATTCAGGTTGCAAAACAAATAATATATCTAAATCTAAGATTCTGTACAGAGGTATATAGTTTAATGAAACTGCTTTGGTGTTGTATCAGAATTATGAAGTGTTGTTTTTCCATCTGCTGCAATCTATTCATATAAATAAATGTTAACTTATCTCTATCACTATTCTATCATCTAGTTACACCAGTGTTTTTCCTCCTAACTTTTTTTCTCTCATCCACCTACCTTCCATCGGGAATATAGGGCCCCCATGTCTGTAGACTACAATGGTCTCCTCTGTGATTCACTGTGGAACAGAAAACCTCTTTAAAAATATGCTTAAGGTCAAATAACACATATGACTTTTAAGCACAGTTACAGGACGTTTAGTGGGAACACCACCACTAAGCCCTGCTGTGAGATTTACACAACACTTTCATCATCACAGGATTTGACAAGCTGCCCACAGAGTATGTGGTCACAATGGTTGCCGTTGTTACTGTGGATTTACTTGGAAAAAATGTGCTTGCTGTGTCTTATTCGTTTGCTCAAATAATATCGTCACATAGGGCTGCACGGTACTGACAAAGATCAAACTTCCAAGTGAGTCTTTGGTAGAAAATAGTCCCATGACGTGGTTCAGATCAAATAAAGAAATTCCAACAATCTCTACCATACATTCAACACTGAAAGCAGTCTCTTCCACATGGCCAGCAGACACAGCTGTTGTTTTAACGCTCAGCATGAAGAGTAACTTCTATTCAAAGGTTATGATGACATCTGAGAGTGGTTTACCTTTCGGCCAGATATGACCTGTCCAACCATGACTCAGCTGTTTGTTACACAATACATCAAGTCAACTTATACCTGTTGATGTATAGCTGTCATTTCAGAGGAGCATTTTGTTAAAAGACAGATGGGAAGACGGCATTAAACGTCATGTTGACTTTGTCACTATGAAGGAAGAGAACAATACAACAACACTCCTCCTGCAAAGAGAATAAATAAAAATGGGTATAGTTTACTGATATAAGTGGCGTTTGATCATTTGTGTATAATTCATATAGTGTGCACATGTGGCCACACTTCCTGCACATATCTTAAGAGTAAGTGGTTTAACAGGTTAGTGTCCTCAGCCAGTCACCAGACAATAACTAGAAGTTTAGTTTTAACAGGTTTAACAAGTTGGTAGTTAGGTGTAACAGGCTTCACTTCAAGACCAGCCCTTTCATGGCTAACTCGTTACTTTCGTTTCCAGCAAAGTCCTCAAACATATGCAGCAACAATGTGCAAAACAACAGAGTTATTACGTTAGCTAAGTAGCTTTAGCTGCTCCGTCACAAAACTGGACACAAACACAGCTGCTAGGAAGAAACAGAAACGTTTTAAAACCAGACAGAGGGCTTCGTATGCATTATGTATTACATAAAACGAGACCGTACTCGTGTTTTAAGCTAAGTGCTGTTCCTAGCTGGCTACTGCGTCAATAGCAGCAGACTTGATGCTTCCTGGAGAAAAAAACACTCTCGTTAAGGTTTCTAATTGTCAATGGGTCTTTAAATTAATCAAACACTTACATAAGGAGGTGTTCAGCGTGTATGTTATCCGCTCATTGCGTCAAGTTGGCTCAGAAAGCAAGAAAACAAAAGACTTTAGCTGCCAACTCTACTGACATTTCAACTACCAAGCGAGACTTGGCGCGGCGTGGAGACGTTTGTTTTTGGATGACGTAATCTCGGAAGAGACGTAGGTTCTTTCCCAGAGAGCTTTGCGTTGTAGTCTTTTTTTTTTTGGTTCTGGTTGTCGGAACTGGGAATGATGATAACAGCACACTACGTGATAGTTTCTGACCGAAAATAACATGAAAACACCTCCACAGAGAGAACTTGCAGATAGCATCGGTCTGATTGATTTAATTACACAAAAAGAGGACTAAACTGCTAATAAACTGAACAGTTACATCTTAAACATCCCTTTCAATGCACGTAGCAGCCATATCGGATCTGAACTCGGGCTACTTTTTTTTTTTCTCCGAGTTTCCGAGTGGTAATTACTACTTCAGGGGGCGTTCCAGTTGCCACTTCCGACTGGGAACTGGGAATTTCCCACTTACGAGATCAACATGGACGCACCATTACTCTATGATGGTTTTCTTTAGGACTGTATTTAGACAACATCTAATAGATTGGTCAATTTACGTGAAAATGTATTAATGAAATCAATTGATTGATTTCTCATAAAGCAAACATTTAATTAATAACATTGATTAATTAAATTAAACAATGGTCATTCATTTTTGAAATTTTGATTGTTTGTTTCTTAAATCAACTCCAACACTGGAGCCACAAGAATCTTACTGACCTATTGTGTTTAAATGGAGCATGAAATCACGATCAGCAGTTAATCATCTCATCTAAAACCTTAAGTTGTTAAATCTATGACCCTATAATTTACTAAATATTTGGATGATAAAATAAGATTTAGCCTACTAGCAAACTATGAAAGGCTAAGCAGGAAAGAGTGAACATCAATATCTTAAATAAAGCCAAAGAGCAATTTATTTATACACTTTACATTAAGCTATATTTAAAAAAACACTACATTAGACAAGTTAAATAATGAAAAGGTGACAACAATCACCCAATAAGAAAAGATGAAATGCAGAAATGTTCTACAAGTATAAGCAAGGTTTATAAAAGTGTCACCACTAGATGTCGCAATTTTATCATTTTCAGAGGACTTTCATCTATTTACTGCAAATCTCTGCACACCGCTGAAACAACTCAGGGGGGAGTTGGAAGAAAAAGCTGCTGAATTCTGGAAAGACTCTTCAGATTCACAATATTTTCTATAATGTGATAACATTGGAAACTACATGTTTGTTTGAGTGTCAAACAGAAACCATTAAATGTTTCACCTTATATCAAACATGAGCTGATCACTTGGACAGCGATGAATAAACAGGCCTACTTTGCGTGTAACTGTGACGATAGTTACACTTTGAATGAAACAAATATATATTCGCTTCTAAGATATAATAAATCTCTATTATTGCCAAACATCAACTACTATGCAGCTGGAGAAGCCCTATAGATTAAACAATAATGCTGCCCTCTCTCCCTCTTTTGCAGGTAACAACAGCTGATGAGGCACTCTGCAGCTTTTGGAGAACACATGCTTCCTTCTCATGAGGTAGGAGTAAATCAAACCTTAAGATACACATTTGCATATATAGGTTAGGTGAACCATTTGATGGTTTCCCCATGAGGAAAAAAAATGTCCTTGCTTAGAGAAACACAACACAATCTGTCCAATCTGGACACAAGTCTAAAACAAAATTGGGCTTATAGTTTAGCCACTCAAACAGTCAAACAAAAATGTATTTTTCAAACGTTATCATGTTGTTAAATATTGCGAATCTGCAGAATCTTGCAGAATTCAGCAGCTTTTTCTTCCAACTCCCCACTGAGTTGTTTCAGATGAGGCTGCAGCGTGCACAGATTTGGCCTTCAGCTTTAATGCTTACAGCTTCCTCTGGAGACTGAAGAGTTATGGGCCTAATAAAACTCTCTCTCTCTCTCTCTCTCTCTCTCTCTCTCTCTCTCTCTCTCTCTCTCTCTCTTCCCCTAGCTCCCCCTTCTTCCTAACTAACCCTCACACACACACACACACACACACACACACACACACACACACAACACACACACCAACACACACACCACACACACACACACACACACACACACACCACACACACACACCACACACACACACACACACACACACACACACACCACACACACACACACACACACACACACACACACACACACACAAACAAACACACAAACAAACACACACACACACACCAGAACTATGTGTGTTGATGTAGCGTACATTATAGCTGATGAGTTATCCTGACGCTGAAGTTATTTCCGTTTCATTAACCCTTAATAAATTAAACACTGAATAAAATTGAACAGCAGGGACTACTTTTTACAATTCTCCAGCACCACACTACCACACACAAGTGTGTTTGTGTTTTAGACAAATGGATGATGAAACACAGATCACAGAACACCAACCAGTTAAAACATCACATAAATGTAGCTCAACAAATACATACACCAGAATGAAATGTGCACTAAAGTGTACTGTTTTTTTGTGAGCAAACCTGGAGATTGAGTTTGCATTTTTTTCCTAATCTATAAAGCGGCTATGCAATAGAGATTTATTTTTCCATATGCATATGTTGAAAAGCATTGTTACCACGCCTTCAAGACATCAATGTATTTGTTTATCAGCACTCAAAGGCTACTCAGACTAATCACAGGCGGCTAATATTTATTAATAAAATATAACACGTATTCATGCAGGTTTGGGTTTGACAAATGTAAGTCTAACATTTAAATTGAGCCTTCAATACTCAGAGAGAATTTGAAAAAAATAAACATGAAGGGAAATAATAGAAACGTGCCACATTGTATTCCGCTGTGTTTCTTCTGAGTGCTTTTCTTTGCAGTCCTACTTTTCCTCAGATAAAGAAATATCATACATTTAAATGATTATAGCTTTGTTATGATTTTTCTAAGTGGTTATTTTCTCATGGTTAGACACAGTGTTGTTATTGTGCGACTTAAATACAAAGGTCCTTCCATGAGGGACAAGGCCCCCTGCTCACAACCATTTGCTGTGTGTCTCTGTTTAGTTGACTGGACATTTCGAGTGGAAGGCACATGGTTCAAAGACACTTTTGTTTGGGGGTTAGACAGTTTATTGGACTTGGCAGTCAGTCTGTCTGTCAAATTAGCACAGACACCTGCTTTGGGACAGATGCCCATGCGGACTCATGCACATGCACGTGAAGTTTGTCTGGATTTGCTGCTGCGCGGCCTTCTTCTCGACCACATAACACGGTAAGGTCGGATCACTCAGTTTAGTTGAGAAGACCGTATTTTGTCATAAAGCCACATTCAATATTACAAATGTAGGTTTATCTAAATATTTGTTTTATTCCCCGATTTCCCTTCGATTTCCTGACTTAATAAACTGACTAAATGCGAGACAAGAGGCCTATTTCACGAAATATTTGAAGACCCTTTAATGTCAGTGCATTGTAGCTATTAGGCTATTATATGGCTTATAACATTTCGATTCGTATTACTTCAAATGAAAAAAAACATTAAAAAAGTTACTCAAAAGGCTACTTTAAACCAATTTATTTCGTGTCATAGACTATTGTATTCAGAGCAAGCGAGTTAAAACCCCGTTCACGTGTTAGGCTCCATCATTTATTTGGACTGTGGGCCTATAGTCTATCGATTTACAGGATATTATTAGTTGTAATGTAGCCCAAGCTTTCGTTTAATAATTTTCATGTTTTAATAAGTGTGACTCTATCAATCGAATAATATCAGGACTTCACACCAATGAAGGCCTAGGCTGCCTTTAATTATTTCCCCCCCAAAGCTACAGGGAAAAAAAAAATATTCATGATAGCATCAGGTCAGCAGTCTCCACTTTTATGTTGTATTAAAAGGCTATAGGCCTCTATATTATTTGAGTTTTCTTATTAATTTCAATATTATAAGGAGAGTTTAGATAGGCCTACTGTGCGCCTCTTTCTCGTCCTCTATTTATCACTTCAAACATAGTACGGGCTGGGGTGAGTTTAAAGTCTAAATCGTTTTTTTCGTCATTTAAAATGTAATATTACAATTCAGAAATAATATGAGAAACAGCCCACGTGGTTTTTAATATTAATTTGGACCTTCATTCATTCTTTGTCTGATAGTCGAAGTCAGTATGGGGTCACCGAATAATAAAGCACAAAGCTACAGTGTGAATAGCTTGCTAGATAATCTTGTTTTTTAGCCTACTATTTTGCTCTTCATATTTCCAGTTTTCTTATTGATTAAATAGACTACAACCAAAAATACAACACGCGCGCGCTGAGGGAAATGTGCAGCTTTACAGGAGGCTGTGTTTTACCATCAGCGCCACAGTGACGCTCCAATAATTCACCATATATGTTCTTTAACAAGAAAAGACACAGGGGGGAAATGTTAAAAATATGTAAAAGAGATCACCTTTGTAAGGACATTGCCCTCCAACATGTCATTAAGACGTCTTGTGAGCATTAGCCGCTGTCTTTTAATCAGACATACATATTTATTGTGCAATAAAATGTAAAATCCCCATACAGCACTGAGGTTACTATATTGCTGTTGACCTATAGGCGACATGGTTCCAGGTGTAACCTCTTTGAGCACATCTGTAAAGGCTTCCGCTGATGACATATGATGAACAATGTATAGATGCACATTTTAGATCTACACCTGGTTTGTTCGTTGACTTAGGTTTAGTAATACATGAAATACATGTTACATAGAAAGTTTCCATGAAGTTATAACTTCTATTTATAAGACACCAAAACCACCCAGCAGCATAGGAATCTGTTGGTAGACTCTTGTGATTGAGAGTTATTTATGAAAATCTTTCAAGAAATTGACCTGTCAATACAGATCGTTCAGGCAGACACTGAGGCCCCAAAGACCACGTACGTGTTATAAACAGAAAATACATTTTTTTTATATGGACACAAATTAAATTGATTCGAATGGTTCTTTGTACTTACCTACATTAATCAGCTGCAACTTTATTTTGGTTTTAAAGTCTTCTATTTCAAGGACTTGATAGAATATTTAACAGCTGGAACCACTTCCACAATGCAATCACTTGCAGTAGCTTACATGTTGGGATTATGAATAAACATAAATGAAGCAAACAATAAATACAAGTGTAAATCAATCTGTTTTTCATTATGAATGAGAAAATTTGATGTTTACAGTAACCTTATCATAGACAAAATGAAAACATACCGTAGGCACTTGCTTGATATTTTGAGTGTCCTGATGAAATGCATTGTGATAGAAGGACTCAGAAATAGAAGCAGCGACATAAAAGGCAACCATCATTGTATTATTTACACCTCTGCTTTTCATTCTATGGGGGGGTCAAAATGTTTCCTGTGTAAAAGGGGTCAGTTATTTGTGCGGTACCACTCATATCTCATTCATGCAGACAATTTCCTCTATATTTCATACCAAAGGTGTGTTCCTGTTATGTCAAAAAAAAGACACTGCATGGTAGACTGACAGGGAGCCAACCATCTGGGGTCTATTTTATTTGTTCTCATGTCTTCTGTGTTCCTAATGAAGTAATGAAGTAGTTGGTAGTTCTTTATCAGGGTTTTGTTTTTTGGGTGCAAAAGTTTGAGGTTTGAGATGCGGTTGTTTATCGGCCTTCCCTCTTCCAAGACTGGCAGTGGCCTGCTATTGCTTGGATTACATGTCCAACTCTCCTTTAACTACCTCATCGACTTAAAGAAGAATGTTGTTTATTTGGGCCTTTGTTAGTGTTACTGTGTGACATTATGCATTTAAGCTTATAATCAGCAGTGCCTATACGCTGATCAAAGAAAGTGTCAGAATTAAAACATTACACGTTTTGTCTTTATTAAAAAGATAACTCTAGAAATGAAGTGTGTGAACCCTTCAAGAGAACAACACATTCATTTATTACAGTGAAGTGTCCTCATGATGAATGATAGCATGAAATCGACAATTAACTTTAATAAGACACATGTATTTATTGAGCATTAAATGGAAAATCCCCTCGCAGCACTGTGACTTTTTTACACAGAGCTGTGATGAAGTCTATACTTCATAAGGACATGACCACATGTAACCTATAGACTGCTGCTTAGCTACTGTTAACACTGTCTGCTAGGATTGGTTGTGCAGCTGCTAGTATAAAGCAACTAGGCAATAATTATCTGTGGAGAGTGATTGACCACCAATTGTTGATCAGGTGCCCACTTGTTACTGTATCCCGCTGCAATATTGCTTTTATCTGAAATACTATTGAAACAGGATACATTTTTCCCTTTGAATATGATTATTTTAACTGTTATTTAAGGATTAAGGGTTGGACATTTTATATTTCAAGCAGTAACCAGTCCATGAATGTGCATGTGAAAGGAGATGATCATTTTTAGATTTTCAAATTTAAGAAAAAAACATATTTTTTGGGGGCGAAACTAGATAAAATGCTTCAAAGTAAATTGAGCAAATGATCTAAGTTTGTATTCTGTAACACCAGTTCAAAGGAAGAATTGAGTCTTAACATTTCATTGATATGAAAATAGACTTTCAGTGATTTCATTTAACTCGGCGATAAGGTGAGTGTGAATGATCTTTTTTTTCCTTCCTTTGAATACAAAATACTGTAGCCTATGTCAAATCATATTTGACAAGATACTGTCTCAAGGTTATTGTATAGAAGAAAATACCACTGGCTTGGTTTTGATTGTTGCAAATTATTTATTTGTTTTCCCATTTCTTGGATGCATGTTAAAATTATAAGAACATTAAAAACAGGGAACAAGTAACTTCTTTAAATGTCCTCACTTCTGACTGTAGTCTAGGCACAAACACAATGAAAAGGATGTTCATAAAAGACAAAAAAGCTCTTTGTATTTATACACTAATTCATCAGTACCCCTCCCTCCTAAATTTCCACAACACTATTTGAAGTCCTGTACTTGTTTGTGTGCTTCTTCCTTTACCACTGAAATTCTAGGAAATTTTAATGGAACATCTGTTGTTGCTTAAAAATCCAATCCAAGAAGTCTTGCACACGTGTATAGAAGAGCAGCATGCAAGGGGAAGATTTGCCTTCATTTTTTTTTTTTTTAAAGACTACGTACACAAGACAGAGCAGTGCATGTTCGCCTTAAATCCTGTGAGTCATCTCCTTTCAATTAATTTATATTTTATACAAAGGCCATAAAAGGATTAATGTAGTGTGCTAGTGTGTTTGAGTGTGTGTGTGTGTGTGTGTGTGTGTGTGTGTGTGTGTGTGTGTGTGTGTGTGTGTGGGGAGGGGGGGGGGGCTGGCCTGACAGCAAAAACGTGCATCCCAGCCTGTACTGTATGTTTAGTTAATTATACTCAACAGATTCAGTTTGGGCAGGCTCAAGGTCAAAGATATGTCTTCTTCTCTTTCCTGCTTTCACAGTGGTTTCGAGGATGATGAAGACAGGCTATGTAAACAATTTTGAGGCTATCATATTTATATCATATTTCTGCTTCTAGGGCTTAGGTCAGGATGCTATGTTCAAGTTTTTAGCTACAGGGCTTAAGAGCTCCATTTGAAAAAAAGAGAAACTTGTAAACAACTGGCCCTGTTTATGGCCAATTTTAGGTTTTGTTAGTTTCTTAGGCGAGACTTTGAAATTAATTATCTAGTAGACGAGGCCTATATCATTTGTCCATGTATTTACCAAGCTGCACTTATCCGTCAAAGTCGGACTCCATCGCTGGACCGTTTTTAACGGAGAACGGCCCGGACTACCCGGGCTCCTGTTACCCCGAGCCACGGCAACACTACCCTCCTCTTCCTCTTCCTCTTCCTCCGTGGAAATGGACCCTGTACCAGGCGAACCATCCCACTTCACTACAGACACCCTGCATAACTTTACAGGGGGACACTGTGTATCGCGAAGCTGTACCGTCCCCACAGACGATATTCAGCCCCGGTGAGGAATGCTTTCTCTACGGCGCCTCTGCTCGCCGTTTCACCGAAGAGTCGCTGACTTTCCCCCGCAGATACACCGCGTTCAATCCGGACTCACAACTCCTCTTCCCGGCAGCACGGAACAGTGTTTTACCGCCGGTTTTCGACCAGTTGTTGGAGTACACGGATGAAGGATTGGATCCGAAAGTGGAGATTATTCAACGGGGAAATGAGGCGAGTCGAGCAGAGTGGACGAGCTGTGACAGCGGGGAGTGCAGCGAGGTGAAGGCGGGGACAGAGTCGTCGCTGGCTGGGGAGGAGAACGAGGAGGATGCAGCGTTATCCAGCAGCAGCGCAGGAGACAACTGTCATGTGCTGAGTGAGTGGAAAAATACAATAGCCAATAATTAGGATATTTAAATGAGATAACAGTTGAGACTCGAGAAACCAGAGGAAAGTGTATATTGTGGAGACAATAGCCTAAACGTAATCTTCTTTAAAGGAACAAAGTAGGCTTAGCACTTTGTAGCCTATTTTGTCCAAAGCCAGAACAGGCCCGAACAAGGCAGTCAAGAGTTGTCACAAAAGCTTAAAAAAAGAAGAAGCAGGGCAGGCTAAATACTGAACTATATAGTATCAGAGTTTTGGGTTGTTCTCTGTGTTTAGTCAATCTGAATCCTATTTTACTGGACACGTTCGTCCAAATAGCTAAAGTCAATAGGGCGCTTCTCTTGTATTATCTTTGTGTCGCCATGGTCAGATATAGCCTATTGTTCCTAAATCAAATATCCTGCATAAGCCTGCTGAATTTCTAATGTGTAAAAATAAATATTATGTAGGCTAAAGTCAATAAATTAAAAGATAATAGCCTATTAGATTTTTTTAAAAAAAAAAAAAAAACTCTACCCCTGCAGGCCTATAACTTTGTTTGCGAGGAAGGCCTATGTTTTTGACATGATGGCATTGGGAATTACAAATAAACAGATTTCTACGCTTTTTTGTGGAAGTTGCAAGTTGTTTTTCCAGTAAATTTGAACAAATGTAAGTTTTACAAATAGGCTACAAAAGCCTAAGCCTATAGTTTTCACACATAATATGATCACATAGAGCGCCATGCTAACTTATTACTTACTTATAAGTGTTGAACTTGACATTCACCCAAAATGGAAAGTTAAATCAGTTTATTTTGCTTATACACTTTATTTTAGGCTAGTAATTTTTTTTTTCTCACTCCGCAGATCCCGGTGGGAAGAGAAAAAAACGTTGTCCTTATACCAAGCAGCAGATCAGTGAGCTGGAGAGAGCGTTTCTCTACAACATCTACATTAACAAGGACAAGCGCGTGCAGCTGGCCCGTTTCCTGCGACTGACAGAAAGGTGCATGTATGCTGCAATTCCAAATGAGGAAATAATCAATCAATCGAACTGTCTTTATTTTGATTATGGGCAATATTGATCAGGAAAAAAAAAAATCGAAATTTCACCGTCCAAAAGACAAGTCACATGTCCATTTTACTGGACCACATCTGACCTTGAAACCTTGAGCTCTGAGTAGGCTTGGACATGGATATGTTGTAGACATAATCACTCAAAGATAGTCAAAGATGACCATCATCCAATGACAAAAACAGTAGTATTTGTTCAAGAAAAAAATGCAGCATTTTCTTGTATTTTGCTGCTGATGTGTAATTATTCAATTATTGTAATGCATGTTTTCATTTTAAAATAAGCTTTTATAAATATTTGATGCTTGTTGATGCTATTTCAGGCAGGTGAAAATCTGGTTCCAGAACAGAAGAATGAAAGAGAAGAAACTGAAAACAGAGACGCTCCAATACTACACAGGATACAGCCTGTTCTGACTGGCAGATTGAGGAGGAGTAAAGGACAGTATTTCTCTAATTGTTGTGCACAACTTATCTTGGACACTTTAAATGAAAAAACAAAAATCCAGCCATCAAATGGTGAACCCCAAGGCGCATGTCTTAGCCCCATATTATTCTCATGTGTCTAAGGAAACCACAACAACACTTAAACACATGATTTCCCACTCCTGATTTTCTTCAAATTTTTAATGAAAAAGACACAGTATCTCTTATTTCCACCCTTAGAGCCAGCTTCGCTCTGAAGTCATGTGGTTACCCTGCTGCTGCCTCAGACTCTTTTTTTGCATCTTTTTCATAAAGAAAGAACTCATATTGAACACAGATGATGTTGACTTGCACTGCTGACAATGTAATTTTGAGTTCAGGGAGTGTCACAGTGAACATTTCTTCTATAGCACTTTTTGTTTTATTTTATATGGAAGTCAGGGTGCGTCAGAGTCATGTTTTTTTTTTTTTTTTCATATTTCAGCCCATCGTCATGTCTTTACGTCAACCCAACATCGGTAGGCTAAATGACATCAGGCCAATGTTGTGATTTGACGTCAGCCCAACATCATGATTTTATGTCAGTTCATTGTTAACATCAGTGAATGATGTCATGATGTCAGTTAATTGTCATGATATGACATCAGCCTAACAAAATGGAGTAACAACAGCCCTACGTCATAGGTTGATGTCAGTCACATATCAGGATATTACTTCAGCGCATCGTCAGGAAAATGACATCAACTCAACATCATACATTAAATCAGCTCAACATCGGGATATGATGTCACCTCACATCATTATATTATCGTCTTGTCGTTGTTGTCAATTCTGTGTTTTTATACTATAAAGACTACAATAATAAAAAAAGAAAAGAGTCCAATCATACAGCTTGGTTTCCCTTTGTATTGAGAAGTTTATGGGACCTACTGAATGACATACTTTTATTAGTGAGTCATAATTTCAGGCATATCTTTTACTTATTTGACAAATATGTATTTCTGCATTGCAACATTATGTCATTGATTTTTTAAAATACACATGGACTATAAAAAAAATCATTGAAGAAAATGTAATATACTTGATACAATGTTTCTAAAAGAGGAACTTCTTTGTTTCAAAAAGTTTCAAGTGTTTAATCTTTCACTTGATGTTAGAACTTTCGAAGTTTGTTATACATTTTAACATTTTTAAACCCATTTGTCTTTTACTCTGTGAGACTTCATTTGTCTGGTTTAGAGGTATTAAGAGTATAACTTAGGTCTGACTTTGGTATTACTGAATGAAAATGATTAGAGCCCAAATTCAAATAAAATGAGTAGATTAAGCACAGTACACAACTGTTGATTATTGTAGACTGTTACAGTGATGTCTGGTGCTTTCCAAACAGTGTTGTCTCTGTTCTTCTAAAAACCACTGGGTTAAAAACAAAGCTATTTTAGTGCTTTGACTAAATCAATTAGTGAAAGACTAATTGATTTATTCCTCAACAATCAAATTAAATACAAACTACTTTGATAAGTGTTTATCAGTTTGAGCAATCTTTTAAGTGCAACTCCTCTATGACAGGAAACTGAATATCTTGTGAACAAAACAACATATTTTAAGCAGTTATTTTGGATCCACAGATGGACATTATTCATTATTTCCTTTTTTTAATAGTATAAAAAATCAACTTACTGATTAATATAGTATTACATTAATGATTACATTAATAATGACAATAAGTGTGAGTAATACCCAGAGGCAAAATCAGACAGGATCCCATTTGATTTAATTTAAAAGGAGGTTATAAACCCGGTCTTGTAGCCAGAACATTAATACAAAATTTGAATCCTATATGAGGCCACATCTATCTATCCAGATATGAGCAAAAATGTTAATAGATCTTCAATACAACTTTGGAGTTCTGACCCAGACTTTGAACAATCCAGGACCAGACAACAGAAACACACAGTGAGTCCAAGGCTGTAAGTGAACCTTGAACCGCAAAACAACAACCACAACACAACCTCACCATCACAACCCCCATTTCCTCCACCTAATGACTTTTATTGGGGCAATACAGACTGTCTGGTGTGTCTCTGTCTTTGTCTCTCACACTCACTGTGTCTATGTGTCTATGTGAGAATGAAGTCGTGCATGAGCGTGTGTTTATGTGTGACGTAAAAAGAAGGAAAAGGACATGAAAGGAGAGCTTGTGTGTCTGGTTGAAACTAAAGCACTCAACCTAATGGCCTACAATAAAGCTGACCACAAGCCTGCTCAGCCTCTTTCCCAACACAGATGTGGCTAACTAAAAAAAAAGTAATGTGTTACAAGTTAAAGTGTTTTGGTGTTGTAAAAGTAATGGTGATTCAAATTGAAAGACTAAAAGAGTATTCATTTGTAGTCATATTTTCATTATAATTCACATTTTATTTTGTCATTGCTCTTTAGCTGTTGGTATCAGCTGTTGCATGATTTGAAACCATAGGCTTTACATCCACCCCTCTAGAGAATCATAGTGCCACCTAGAGGACATCGCTGCTATAATTTAAATAATAATTAAATTATTTTTAGACTTTATTGTTTTTACACTCTGTCTAGTGAACATGCTACACAAACATATGCACAAACAGGATCCTATGGACATGCACTAATGGAGAGGTCTCAGCGTGAGGGGGGCTGCCCACAGTGGGCACTCCTGAGCTGGTGGGGGGGTTCGGTGCCTTGCTCAAGGGCACCTCGGCAGTACTGACCCTCCGATTCCCAACCCAGGTCCCTGCAGACTGAGCTACTGCCACCCCCAAAGGATGAGGTACCACCAAGAGCCATCAGCCATCTGCTCTGAATCCTCAAGCGTCCAGATAAACCAAATAATGCACTGATTTATGTGTTACTTCCTTTTTAATTCACTGGGTTGACAGAGTTTATACAACTTGATAATGATCTAGATTAAAGACGTGCAGTAAAGAAGCCTGCTTGATGACATACACTGGAGCTCTTCAGGATATTAAACTTTTATTTCTTCCTTGTTGCATATTTTTAAAAGATGGTGATCAAAGAGGAACTCGAGTCTTTCAAATGCAATTGTCTTTTGTATTTTTGCAATTATTTCTACAAAATCCAACCACTAAATTAAAAGTTTAACTTCATGGTATTGTTTTGATGAGATTTGTTCCTTCCGTCGCAATTTCGCTCATCTGGCCCTAAAGTAAGGTTTATATATAATTTTAAATTATTCTCAAATGATGTCAAACAGGGTCGGGATGCTATTAAATGCAATCTGAAGGCTAATGTTCAGCGTTTGGGACTAGTTCCAATAGCCCTATAAAGTATCATAAATTCCTTCTGCATTGGCTCATCCAGACAGCAGGTGGCACTAAGGGTGCACAGGAGACATCGATCAAGGTATATGTTCTAAAAAAAAAATACATCTCTCTAATGAAAAAAATAATAAAATAAATAGCCTAGGTTAGTAAAAGGGCACAGTTTTTTTCTGTCTTTGAGCCACGGCCACTGCATTGTCGTCACCTTGTCCAGCTAATTGAGTTTGTGTAATGGAGATCACTTTAAAATGAAAGGGCCAAATACGATCCTTTGGGGGATTCGTTTTTCAGTAGGGTTCTTTATAATAATCCAGGCAAGTAATATAGTTTATGGGCGTAAAAAAACAAATAGGCATTTTCCATTGTTCAATTACATTTTTGGAAATAGACAGACAAGAACATGGTCATGGTTTCATTAAATACGGTTGGAAAACGTCCCTGTTTTCCCCTCAGTCACAATGTTTATGAAGTAAATATGGGGATTTTAATCGTGTTACCCAAATGCACAGTAATAGGCCTACCTATTCTAAAAGATTAACACTCACCAAAAGCGGAATTACCTAGGATATGCATTTTCACAGTACAAAGTAACGAAGCAAAAGCAAAAGTTTCAGACACTACAATGCTTTTTGAAAAAACAAAAACAATCTAGGGGTAATTTATTTTTCTGTGCGGACGAATGGACGCACAAGAAGGATACGCACGTCATTGTATATTAAGTACGAAGTTTATTAATTGCAAAAACAGCTTTAAAAATATTTTTGCAAATGGACACCAGAAACGAAAAAAAAAAACAAATGTGAAAAAAAAAAATTAAATTGAAATTAATGTGGCATAGATAGACCTACATCCAAAGCCCCAGCTCTCATCTGTTAATGCCAACCCCGTTACACACACACACACACTCTCACACACACACACACACACACACACACACACACACACACACACACACACACACACACACACACACACACACACACACGCACACACACCACACATCAAACAAGCTTGTAAACTGCTCCCTGCTACATTTTATTCAGCTTGTAAAACAGTGTTTCAAGTAGAGAGTTTTAAAAAGCTGTATTGCTACACCTAGGGCCAGCTGGCAGCAGACTTGCAGGCCTACTGTCACATATCTAAGCACAAAAGACTCATTAGATTTATTTCCTTTACTGGGTAAATACAGTCCAACCATGTGATCCACAGATTAACCAATGAGCAGCCGAGAAGAAGGTAAGGGCAGGAAAAAAATTACTACCATTTTAGGGGAGGATGTAAGCCACTATACTAGCCCATCTAACGTTTTACAGTCGCACTTAAGTGTCTTTTTATTGAAATAATAAAATAAACATGTCGCTAACGAATTATTATTCCATGATGGGGCTCCAGACTGAGGAGCCGTACGGTGCACATTTCATCCCGGGAGGCTTGCAGGGTTCGACGGCCGGCTGTGCGAAGCCATCCCGGGGAGCTGAGGAGGAAGGGACCCCCGCCTCACACATTCCGGATTTTTCACATTTTTCCAACAAACAAACGAGCTTAAATGGCTTCTCTCCCTGGACTAACACCTCTACGTCCTCGTCGCCCTCTTCTCCGCAGCTGCATTCCAACCCCGGCGCGTCCATCCCCGGCCTTTTCCATCCACATCACCTTCTGACTCACCACCACCACCCGTACTACAGCCCGCAGACGCAGACCCACGCCGAGCACCTCGCATCATCGGCAGCTGCTGAGAGCAGATTCGTCCGCTGCTGGGAGGGGGCGACTCCCTCTTCGGAGACCTCTCTGTCACATACCGGTTTTCCCGGGTGTCTCCCTACTCAGGGTGACCTCTCCAATTCGAGCCCGAGGTATGACGCGGTAAAACCCGAGAGTTCGCCACCGCCACCGCCACACGAGGACAGCCCCGAGGACTCTAGCTTCGGCAGCCCAGCTGAGGTGGTCCTCGAGCGGCTTGGGACAGTTGAGGAGCTCGGTAGGAAGACGGAGCCCAAAAAGGAGGTAGAGGAGAGAAAACCTCAGCCACAGCTTGACCCGGGTAAGAGACAGATAAACCAAACTCGGGAATGTTTATTAGCATGTGCATAAACAGGTGTGTGTATGTCCGAGTGTGTGTGACTGTGTGTGTGTGTGTGTGTGTGTGTGAGAGAGAGTGGGCAGAGAGGGAGAACGCGGCCTAAGTAAGTAAGTGTGTGTGACTTTTATAGCCCTATAACTGTCTTGTAAACTGTTAAATATAAAACTTTATTGTCCATTAAAATAATTAAGCTGCCATTGCTTTTATTTAACTTTTTGTCAGGAGAGGGACAACGCATGTGGACTCAGACTTGTGCAGGACTTCTTTCCCCTTGTTAATTAGAAAGGCTTTTTTTCTGAAGAAACCCTCTAACATAGCTAAAATTATGTGGAGGAAAGGCAAACAAAAGCCCTTAATAATTTATACGTATTTTTCCTGTTAAATAGAATCAAGTGTGTAATGCAGCATGAATTAACAAGACTTAAAACACATTATAGAAGGTAAAAGTGAACATTGAAAATTATACGGAAAAAAAAAAAACAGACGACATAAATATAAGTCGAGAAGCAAAATAATATGTCCGGGACTTAAACAATAATTACGACAATAATAATGAACGTTTTAACGTTCTGTAATAGGGAGCTTTTGTTGCATTGATTATAAAACGTTATGGACTGGATGTAGGCTACCTATGCGTTACAAATAAATACCATCGACTAAGATAAGAGTTCTTCTTATTGTATTGAATAAACGTTTTAGGCGATCTCTGCACATTTGAATTTCAGTGCATCATAGAAATAACTAGAAAATTAACTCAACTAAGGCATGTTAGTATTTGACTGTTAAGCCAAAATATTTGTTGATGGGTGTCCATCTCACTTAATTACTCCCTTTAATTACTTTTTTTAAGCAGCCAATATATTGTGGCTGATAGATATTTTATCTGTCAGCCACAAGTTCAAATATCACCTTTTGAACCGCAGTTAAATAATTCTTAAAATGAGCAGTTTGGATGCATGTCAATGCTGCCTCTGTTCAGACAGAGATTTAAACTGGAGTTTATTTAGCTCACTGCTGTAGGCTATTTGTTGCCACTTGTTGTAATCCCCAAAACGTTTCCAGATTAAAAAAAGTCTTTTGCAACATCAGAAACCTCAAACCAAATTTTACAGTGTCCTATTATGTTCAATTATTAAAAGGAGGGAGGATGAAATAATGACACAAACAAGCCTAGTGCTAATTAAATTCTGCTGTTAGTGCAAGGACAAATAGGGTTTAAAATGATCATTGAAATTGAATATCTTTGTGTTTTTAATCCATTTTTATTTATGGATCTGCGTTTTGAGTGCTTGCTGTTGTTTCTTTTTCTAATGAGCCAGAAGTTGCAGGCTCATAAAACTTGTTCCTGAGGATATTTTCCTAGATTTTTACGTCAGTCTTTGAACTCCTCACACAGGCACAGGCACACACACACACACACACACACACACACACACACAGGCACACACACACACACACACACACACACACACACACACACACACACACACACACTCATTTAAAAACACTGCTGCAGGGTCACAGTAAAACTCCATGCCACCCTGTTTCTAATTTCTGCAGAAAATCCTTCAGCCAGTTGGATCCATGCCAAGTCCACTAGGAAGAAAAGGTGTCCTTACACCAAACACCAGACGCTGGAGCTGGAGAAGGAGTTTCTGTACAACATGTACCTGACCAGGGACCGGCGCCTGGAGGTGGCAGGACTCTTAAATCTGACTGAGAGGCAGGTTAAAATCTGGTTCCAGAACAGACGGATGAAGATGAAGAAACTGATGACCCGGGACAGGAGGAGTATCAATGAATGAATGAATGGGTGGATGGATGAATGAATGAAGTAAAAAAAAAAATGAATGAATGAATGAATGAACAAGGACTTTGGAAAAGATGCTTGGGTTGTTTTATCTGGGATATCAGTCAAGTTTACAGCTGGTGAAAGCGCTCCAAGCTGCCCCAAAATGAAACCCACAGCTGGCTTAATCAGCAGTTTCTAAGCAAGGGGACTGTGGAACCAACATGGCCCCTTGAAAACTGCAGTGCTGAGAATCTGCAGGGGATACTAGTAGGATGTGTGGTAAAACTCGTTGGAAACTTTGGAAAAAATATGGTCCTGTCTTATCCTTTTGGCCTTTTCGTGGCCGGTCTTCTGAACTCTGGTGGAGAATTCTTCCATCTGCATGTTGCAAAATAAGGATAGTAACCCTGTAACCTGGGGTAGTTGTAAATAAAGCTCAGAATCACAGCGAGATCCATAAATCAAATAAAAAAACACACTAGTTGATATCAAAGGCCGTGCTCATTTCAAAAACACATCTGTTTTTAGTTATACATCCCACGTGTCCAAATCTTAAACTACTAGACACACACTTGACTTCACATACTGTAAATTGGCTTGTGCTTTCTGCCAAAATCCAAATCTTGTTTTGTGATTTAGTGCCCAAACTATCGTCCTTGTAAAAACTGCTTTCAGTGTGCCAGATGAGACTGAACTGCAAGGCAACTATCAAAGATAAATCCCTTGAGTGGGTTTATGACCAAACACCTGTCTGTTAGCGACGGAAAAAACAGTCGCAGAGTGTTTATCCAACATTAGAATAAAACACTTTAAGAACCGAAATCCTAAACAAACAGAAGCCTGACACTTAAAACGGTCTATTGCCTTAAGGAGAGGAGAGCAACACAAACCTCGAAAGATTAATGAGTGAGTTTCAGCAGTATCGAATGGAAAAAAAGGGAAATAGTAGCAACTGATTTACTGAACCCTCTGTTGGCTTTTATTTGAAGGGAAAGATGTTATTATTTCTGGTTAAAAATATGAAGTCATTTGCAAGAACTGAAAGTACATTTACTGTGGCTGCACTTACTGTGGATGTGTTGTTATTCAGCCTCATTGCTTCTGGTAGACAATAACACAACCCTGCATCTGTCACATGTCAAGTGTTCCACAAGATGTTTAATGCACATGGTTGATTACACCATGAAAAGCATCTGAAACTACATGTTCTCAATGTGAGTTTTTAAAATATGATTTATAAGGCATTCAAATGTTATAAATCACATGTGCTACTTTGCAAGAGTTACTTCTGCTGAGAAAAATGTCCTTTTACACTTAAAAATCCAACATCATGCCTCTTTAGAGTATTAATTAACCACTTTAGACTATATTGTAATAGGAATGGAAACTTTATTTCTGCTAGAAAGCTGAATAGGCACACAAAAACAACAACATTAAGGCGCGAGATTATAATAGTGGCTGTGGGTGCTGTGCTGTATCCAATACAATTTTATATCAGCTCTTGTCAGCAACTTGCCAAGAGAAAGGCATTTGGTTTCTTTATTCAGAAAAAAAAAGTTGTGACTTGTTGAAATCCTGAGGTTAGTTGTAACATGCAGAAATGTGTTTTGATAATTTGGCTTATTAATAATCTTATACAGGATTACCTCCAAAAATGTAAGATTATGTACAAAATGTTCATACCTCTATATTCAGAGTATGTGCATATTTACATGCAAGCATAATTTGTAGTCCTATATTTTTTTTTTCCGATTGAACATACATGTTTGTGTGTCAAAAAACATTCACTAAAAATAATCACATTTTGGGGGGATTTTACATAGCTTACCATTTGTGTTTTTAATCAGAGTTGCAGATAACTATGAATATATGAATTGTAATCTTAGCTTGAAAGATAAGTATTATCTTACAGCAGACATGTAGGCTATGTTAAAGTATTTCGAGCGTCACAATAAAAGAAACATGCAAATTACAAAGAAACTTTGGCGTGTTTCACAAAGTATTTCGGCTGTGTCCAGGTGGGATTTTCAGTCCAGAGAAACCTAATACTGTGAATCATGTTCTTTCTTGCTTTCTTATTCTAATTTAAAAACGTGCTTCTGATTGGTGCAATTCTCTGTGTTACAACCGACCACAGTCTGTCCACAGTCCCCCCCCCCCCCGAAATTACACCCAGAAGTGACTTTTATCATTTTGTTCCTCAAAAATAGAATAAGCTTCCTTGTATTTTTTTTTTCTTTTATAAACTGTGCATGTAGCCTTACGGGCACATTTGTTGTTAAAGTAGTTATTGTTGTCGTCATTGTTGCTATGTATCTCTGTTGTCACTGTGAGTCTAATATGCAGATATGGTCAAGCCTGCATTCCTCACACACACACACACACACACACACACACACCAGTCATTGCTAAGCTACGGTGTGACAGCAGTCTGATGGTTATTTTCCTGCTTCATTGTTACCTCCCGTAAGAATAAACTGATAAAAGGACTTCATACAGAAATAACGCACAATTTTCCTTTTAGAATGTACCATTACATCAAGCTAAGATATCATATGAGTTCTATTGTGATATTATTTTTGTTATGTCTTTTGTTTTCATGAGGATGAGATGGATTCAAGGACAACACATTTCTCTCTGGGAGCAAAGAAACATAAGAAGCTGTGTTGGCCCCCAGCGACAGGCCTGTGCTGTGACGTCACTGGGGTCAAGATGTGAAGAAATGATGCTTTCATTTGCTCATATAAGCTCATATAGGCTCAACATGCTGCTCATGGGGATTTTTAAAAATGAAATAAACAATGGATTACATCATCATTGTGAATAAGAAGCTTTACTTGTATTTATTTTTCCTTTCAATGTTATCTGGGATTTTATGCAACCTAAAGGAAAAAGGTCATTGGTGTCAGGTTGTTTTAAAGGTTTTATGGGACATTTCTAGTAACAGTATGCTATAAGGTGGTTGTACAGAGGATGCATTTGTTCTTCTTTATTTTTTAATTAACTTGAAACAACAAATAAATAAAACTTCTATTATACAACTTCTAATAATGCCAACAAACTGCCGGAAAAAAACACAATAATTTACAGAACAATATTGCCAGAATAATTTAGCTGACATAAAATTAATAACATTCATTCTTCTAGTTCTAATAAGTCACTACTACTACCACTACTACCAATAACTCTATAAGGTTGTTGACATAATGTATTACACACAATATTAGACTACTACTTCCAATACTAAGCCTGCTACTACTACACAATAACTTTGTGACTTTGAAATTAGTCTTCTACCACTGCTAATATTTATCCTACTTTATACGTATGAATATGAATATAGTTAATGTAGATTAAGTTTGTCTTTAACTTAATGTACCCACATTTGTTTATATTTTACAGGTAACGCATATTTAGATTTGAGCAACCCCTACAGCAGGGAAACGAGAACAAAATCATACGTCACGTCTAAACTTATATTAGGCTACTCGTTTAGTTTCATACTATTGTTCTATTTTGTTTCGGCATGATCCGAGAATACAAAGTAGGCTATTTCATATATTGTATTATTGCATCGTCAAGGTGTTTGACTGCTGTCAGGTATATAGTGTGAGCTTGGGTCCTGCCTGCTTGTTTTGTCAAAGTCAGTGCAGCGCCTCGTAGCTTCCCTCATTTACGGCCACCATATAACCCAGCCAGCGCTCACCCTACTGCAGGGTCATAAAGCAACAGCATGCATTTGGAGAATAAACGTGACTTTCCCCACACACAGACACACTCACAGAGAGAGCCACAATCACACACACACACACACACACACACACACAGAAATAGAGAGAGAGAGAGAGAGAGAGAGAGATGGGGACCATAAAGTGATTTAGCCCAGACAGTCTTAGCGATTATATGGTTTTATTGGAGATCCTTTCCTGCCTTGGAGCGTCAATTGTCTTTCGAAATGTTAAAGTCATTGTCTGCAGATGAGACCAGACAGCCTCAATCACAATTCTACACAACAGGAGAGCACAGAATACAGAACAAAGGCGACCAGGCCCTTAAGGGTTTGAGTCTGGATATCACGCCTTTCTACAAAAAAAAAAAACATCTCGTCATATATACAGTCCAAGTGCGTATAATAAAATACAATAATATAACAGCCATGACTTCAAGGAACGCAAATATTAACCTCATATATCGGCTTCTTATGAATTCTGTCTCTCTTGCCGTGAATAGGGAAGGGTAGAAAATAATCTGTTCTGATGTTGTGCAGAAATGTCACAGTTCATTATTGACATACGCAGTGTGTGAGTTATTCCCTGATATTGACTGAGCGCTCAAACACTTTATATTAAAACCAAAATTAAGCTGACAAAGACAAAAAAAATAAGCTTGAACGATACATATCTTTAAACATCCAAATTAGAATTGAAAAAATATATTGTTTCTTCAAACACACTGGAATACTCGGGGGGGGAAATAGGCTACACGAAACCAAAAACAACGGGTAATAGCAAACTAACAGCAAAATTGATAACAAAACAAATAGGCCTACACAAAAGAAAAAAGAAATCGTTTGAAAGGACTGATGAAGTGTAAACGGTCTAACTCCGAGTTAGGCAATAAAACGGACGAGACAACAGCAACTATAACGAGGGAGTACTTCATATGCTGCAGAAATTAAACAGGAAGGAGTAATGTTCATATTATTGCCTCCGATTAAATGTTGTTCCAAACACAGATCTGCACACATCATATTAATTGAATTCACCTTGGTAGACTATTAATGAATTAAAATAATTGAGGTGAGCTTCATGCAAAAAAATAATTATTTTGAAGAAATGTCTCTGGCAGCAGTGTTTAGTAAAGGAGCACCTTAAATTAGTATGTTTTAGAATACATGCAGCCTTTAACCATAAAACACGATGAGGTTTATCTTCTGTTTTAAGCCATTGTTTAAAACTGATTAATACAAGTAGCCTAAATTACAATCATTATTATTATCATTATATAATTATAAGAAGTAACGGAATGCTTACAAATATATCCCCCCATTTGAATTTGAATTTATTTATTTAATAGGGACAATGCAATTTAACATAGTTTCAATACAAAGCATGACACCGATGTGCTGCATAAAGACTATAACTATTGCTAATTTCCAACTCTTGTTTCCCTAGTTGGGCCTTTGGGTAAACAAAAAGAGTAATGTTCAACATTCGATCCAAAAAAAAAACCAACACAACACTATATGAGGATACATAGGCTATATTGATATATATTGATTTAGCCCTGTTGATTATCCTGTGCCAAACACATTTTGGAAGAGAAAAAATATAAATGACTCAAAAGCCAAAGGAATGCCCGAACACAATAGAAGAATCAGCTGTTTGTATGTGCAGTAACTTGCTCTGCCCGCTGGGTGGCAGTGTTGGATTTGTTGAGCTGCTGACACGCATTGCTGCTATGATGTCATGGTAAACATCTGAACTTTGAATAGACAGAGTAGAACCTACATTTTCAGAATGAAAGTCGTGCACATGGACGGTGAAGGTATACTGATTCCTGCAGAAACACAACTTTAACGTCATTCTTCAAAAAAAAAAAAAAAATACTGTGTGAAGCTCTGTGGTGAAAATGTTCTACAGTGATGTGAAAGTAAGGTAATGCACTTAAGTAATCACTTTAAGGTAGATAAAGGTTTTATTTGACTGTTTTAGACTTAGAATATTATTATTCATGCATGAATGTAAAAGCAAGATCTTAAAGATGTAGGGTGACTTTAGTGTTTGGTTGTTATTTTGTGAAGGAATCATTAAATAACTATTTCCATTGTGAGGTAATCAGTTGACTATTTATTCATTCATGGATTATTTCTGAAATTTGCTTTGCCCAACATACAGTACAACAAAGTTTAACTACCAAACCAAATAAAACCATTAAATGGGAGTGCAACAAAAACAACCAGACAACCAGGTTCAAATCTTGAACCATGTGTTATAGTTTAAAACAGTGATACATACCACTGCTGATGCATGCTTTCATTTTTAAATGTTAAGTCCATTAACTTCAAGAGTCTAATTCAATATAATTAGATTTTGTTTTACCCTGCAGAACTTCACCAATGACTGCCATTTTAATTCATGATATTCATCCTTTTTGATGGCCCTGTACTAGCAGACCAAGATTACATTCATAAATCCAGCTTCATCTTAAAAGTTTGATGTCTGAAATCTCTAAATCTGCCAAATAGCCACACTCCTATCTAGCCTATATATTCTTTATTGTCAAGAATATTCACTTTAATGTTACGATGGCTGTGCTGCTATCTTTCATTCCTCCTTATTTCATTCAAAAAAAAAAAAAAACAGACACATTCTGAGAACACCAAAAGGTTTTCCCAAATTGCTTACATCTGAACACATTCAATACACTTTGCATTTCCTCAAAAAAACCATATATTTTTCCCCCTAGACATTTGGACAAGCATCCAGTTCTCCATGTATTAAAACCAGCTCAGTGAAACATTAAAACTAAAACATTAAAGAAATAGGAAACTTTTCTTACACCTTCCTTTTTCAGAGCATTTCAATATTAGCCATCATTTTTTTTATTCTAGGGAAATGACATATTTTACAAGACAATTAGAAAAGCATGACAACAAATGTTCCCATTGTAAAACAGCAACATCATGTATCTTGTCATATAAACAGCCTCTCTCTCTCTCTTTCACCACTGTTTAACTGGGACATAAATTATTGACTTTCCAAATACACGCAGACATTAAAATGTTGTCAACTCATATTTCAGCTCATGCTCTCCTGGAGCTGCGTGGCTATAAAAAGACAGACATCAAATTTTAAAAAAGAAACATAAACATGGACGATTTATCACCAACTAAAATTCATCCCATGTTTCTGACTTATAAGTGTAGCATTTTTTTTTTTGTGTGTGAATATTTTTTTGGCCAATGTGGCCTTTTTATTTGATAGGTGTGTTGAAAAGAGACAGGAAGTGTTGGGAGGAGGAGGAGAGTTGGGGGATGACATGCAGCAAAGGGCCGAGGTGGGATTTAAACCCACAGCTGCTGCGACGAGGACGACAGCCTC